TTTGTGCTAGCTTCTAGTAACCAGATGAAAAACTGTGTTGCTGGTAAGTAGGTTTTGACTCATGATTGCTGGTTTAAGCTGAGTCTTACTGGTTGCGATGAGCTGGTTTAAGATGGTTATTTGTGGGTCAAGTGCTGTTCAGGACCAGCTTAGGGCAAGCTTAAAGGGTAGTTCACCCAATAATAAAACTTTACTCGCTATTTGATTTTTTTTAGACCTTTAGAGCTTTTTAAATCTGTTGAACACTAAAGAAGATATTTTGAGGACAGCTGAAAACCTGTAACCAATGATTTATTGGAAAACCATTACTATGGAGGTCAGCGGTTAGATTCAGCTTTTGTCAAAATACAACAGATGTGTGTGTTCAACAGATAAGAGAAAGTCAAACGGGTTTTGAACAAGTGAAATGTAAGTAAAGATATATAAATGGTGTTCATTTTTTGGTCCTTTTTAAAGCTTAAAGAGATAGTTCATCAAATAATGAAAGTTTACTCACTATGTACTCCCCCCTAAAGTGGTTATAAACCTTTAAAGGTGTGAAACAAGTCTACAGTGAGTACCTTACCAGTTTTTTTTTTCAACAATGCAATCTCCAGCTGCCATCTGCAGGCATTCTTAGACACTCCTTTGGTTTTAGTGTACATTTGTGTTTGTGATCAGAAGGTTGCTGGTTCGATTCTCACAAAAAAAGCTGTATATAAACATTTTGAAACTCTTACATGTTGTTCCAAACCTGAATTATTTCTTTTCACTCATATTCATTAGTTCATTAATTTTCATTCGGCTTAGTCCGGGGTCAACACAGCGAAATGAACCATCAACTATTTTGTTTAACTATTAAAACATGTGTTTTACCCTGCGGATACTCTTCCAGCCACAACCCAGTACTGGGAAACGCATATACACTCTCACATTCACAGTCATACACTATACGAACAATTTAGTGTACCCAGTTAACCTCTACCACATGTCTTTGGACTGTGGAGGAAACCCACACCAACACGGGGAGAACAGTCTGCTCCGATAAGGAGTTTTGTCGCCGATACAGAGTACTGATTTCTTATCATGGTGAGCACCCAGAATAGAATAAATTAGAAATGCTGCTTATAATTCCTTAAACATGTCTCTTATAACCATTAAGGTGTAAATATATCATGGCCAGAAGCAGCTTTACAGAAAATGATTCAATCCTTTATTTGACCTAGTGCCTTAGTTCCTCATTTATCAGTGGTCACCACAGTGGAATGAACCTCTACACAAAATTATAAATCATTTACCTCTTCATGTGTTGTGGCTGCTGAAGACTATGTATAGTATACATAGTATAATATGTAATATGTATAATATACAGGAGCGCATGTGCGTCGTCGGGCGAGGCAGTGGCGCAGTAGGTAGTGCTGTCGCCTCACAGCAAGAAGGTCGCTGGGTCACTGGTTCGAACCTCAGCTCAGTTGGTGTTTCTGTGTGGAGTTTGCATGTTCTCCCTGCCTTCGCGTGGGTTTCCTCTGGGTGCTCCGGTTTCCCCCACTGTCCAAAGACATGCAGTACAGGTGAATTGGGTAGGCTAAATTGTCCGTATTGTATGAGTGTGTGTGTCAATGTGTGTGTGTGGATGTTCCCAGAGATGGGTCGCGGCTGGAAGGGCATCCGCTGCGTAAAAACTTGCTGAATAAGTTAGCGGTTCATTCCGCTGTGGCGACCCCGGATTAATAAAGGGACTAAGCCGACAAGAAAATGAATGAATGTGCGTCATCCTATGCTTGTAAACTCATGAACAAACATGTGAGATGAGGTTAATGAGATCTGCCAGATTGGCGAGTACCGATCGAGTCAATAAATGTGATTATCAGCCGATACCAATCTTAGGCTGATAGATCGGAGCATCTTTAACGCAAAATCCACACAGAAATGCCAACTGGCCCAGCCAGGACTCTAACTAGCAAACCTCTTGTTGTGAGGCTACAATGCTAACCACTAAGCCACCGCGCCGTCTTTTTTTAATTTTATGTAACATAAAGTGTTTAAAAAAGTAAAAATGTGGTATTTGCTCTGGATTAAAGCATTGTCTAACTTTGCTCCATGTCATTGTGCACTACAGTATGTTTTCAATTGGAGGTGTGTCGACGCGCATCTACAAGGAGCGCCTGCAGGCAGAAGGGATGGGAGCGAATGACTTGGCCATCAAGTTCCTGAACCAGGACTATGAGGAGCTGAGAAGGGAGTGTGTGGAGAGTGGCAGGCTGTTTGAGGACCCTTGCTTTCCTGCAGTGCCCCAATCACTGGGCTTCAAGGAGCTCGCGCCAAACTCCTCCAAAACACGTGGTGTGAAGTGGATAAGACCCACTGTGAGTAACTACGGTTTATACAGTCCTTCTAGAGCTGCCAACAGCAACTAAACACACCTGAACCAGTTAATCAAGGTTATGCTACTGTAGGCATGATAGAAATTTCCCAACAGGTTTGAGATGAACTCTACAGGACAGTTGTCCTCCAGGAGCAGGGTTAGATAGTATGGTTTATAAACAGCATGTAAAGGCAATAAACCAGGAGTGCCCAAACTTTTTGGTATGAAGGGCCAAAAACTAAATATCATCGGTAGCTGTGGGCCAAAGATAAATATTCAAAGCTACTTTACATTACATTTGCCATGGGTAATTTCTTAATTCCTTTCATAATATTAAAAAATAATAGGAAACATTACTTTTAATTAACTATGCAGTATAACCTTTTTAATTATAACTCTAAATTATACTAAGGCTCTGCATTCTCCTCTATGTGTTATACATTTTAAACTAAATCTGATTCATTTACACCAATTAAATTGAAACGTCTAATTTCAGATAGCTTTTTATATGTAGCTTAATAATAAAAAAAAACAAAAAAAGGGTACATTAAATTTGAAATGGCAGTCTCTAAACTATTCTCAGATGGGATGGTGGGCTAGTTCAAAGATTACCTTGGCCCAACTTTGGCCTTCGGGCCCTAGTTTGGGCATCTCTGCACTAAACTGTTTTAATTTATTTTTGACACTGATTGGGGAACGAAGACAGTATAGGAAGTAGGAGGCCTTAGATCAATAAATTACATGAGGTAGATTCCCATTTAAGAAGGTGCAGCAGCTTGTGCTGACTAGTAAATTAAGTGTCGTGTTTAAGTTTTAGCCCAATTTGACTCCTTATTTGACTGGTACAGTAAAGAGAAGATGATAAATTAGGAGATACAAGATCAATAAATTACATGATTTACTTCACCCCTAAAATTTTTACTAATTATTATTGTTATTAATTAAACAACTTCATGTTGTTCCAATCACCCGAGCATTTCAATCAATTTTGCAGGACAAATTAAAGTATTTTAGATGAAAAATCCATAAAAGTACCAAAGATTTTCTCAAAACAGACAAAATGCCTTCAGTGGCTTGATCAGAATATTATCAAGCAATAAGACAATAAGACACCCAAAGAATTTCTATTATTAATTAAACAACTTTGTTTCATTCCAAACACTTTTCATTCACCTTTGGAGCACAAATTAATGTATTTAGATAACATCTGAGAGCTCCCTCGTCCTTCATAAACAGCAAGATTCCTCATTTGTGCAAAGTCCATAAAACATCTGTAAAAACATCCTCAAAACAGACAATATGCCTATAGTGGTTTACTCAGAATATTATCAAGTTATGAGAATACTTTTGTGTGCACTTAATAGTGACTTTATTTAGCAGTTTCTTTTTGTCAGTGTGAGTTTATCCCATGCTTTCTTAAGCACTGCGCAGTGATGCATACTTTAAGTCTAGTGTTTAATTTTTAGCCCAGTTTTACATGCTACTTTATTAGTCTAGTAAAGTAGGAAAAGTTACAGGATCAAGATGACATGATCACATGATCGCAGTGACGTATACGTCTAGTGTTTAATTTTTAGCCCAGTAAGTTATTAGTATAGTATGTTAAGTTACAGAATCAAGATGACATGATCTAGAACAGAGGTCACCAAACTTGTTCCTGGAGAGCTGGTGTCCTGCTGAGTTTAGTTCCAACCCTAATCAAACACAACTGAACCACCTTAATAAGGTCTTACAACTTAAAGAAATTAAGAAATGACATGAGTTACTCCACCCAGAAGTTTTCTGTTATTATTTAATCAATTTTATGTCATTCCAAACACTTGGAGCAAAAATCTTTAGTGCAAAAATTAAGGTAATTTATATGAAATGTGAGAGCTCCCTCATCCTTCTTAGACAGCAAGGTAGCTTGTGCAAAGTCCTTAAAGGAACCAAAAACATCCTCAAAACAGATAATATGCCTTCAGTAGTTCAATCAGAATATTATTAAGCTACTTTTGAATACTTTTGTGCTCACTTAATAATGACTTTATTCAGCAGTTTCTTCTCATCAGTGTGAGTATATTGCACACTTTCATGAGCACCGCGCAGTGACGTATACGTCTAGTGTTTAATGTTTAGCCCAGTAAGTTATTAGTATAGTAAATTATGTTAAGTTACAGGATCAAGATGACATGATCTAGACCAGAGGTCACCAAACTTGTTCCTGAAGGGCTGGTGTCCTGCAGAGTTTAGCTCCAACTCTAATCAAACACAACTGAACCAGCTAATCAAGGTCTTAATAGGTATTCTTGAAACTTTCTGGCAGGTGTGTTGTGGCAAGTTGAAGCCAAACACTGCCGGGACAAAATTGGTGACCCTCAATCTAGACTCAAACTTCTATTTCCCACATGAAAATTAATAAGACATAGCTCAAAACTACAAAAACATAGCTTGTTTTTTATAGGGATAGATAGCAAACAGATAGCTATTTGTCACCTTAATTGATTGTTGTAGCAAAGATAGTAGGACAGTAAGTTAAGAAGATCAAAAAATGACATTAGCTACATCTCTCATTTCACATAAGAGATCCAAGGTGAAACGCCTAATGTTAATTACTGACAGAAGGCTTGTCTATTAATTTTTGACAGTTTTATTGATTGGGAGAGTAAAGAAAGACCAGGAAATTGAGTGAAAGGGTCAAGATTGAGAAATTACATGAGCTAGATTCTTTTATCACTTGAGGAACGAACATCAAGAGTTGGTGCCAGCTACAAATTTCAGCAGTGTGCAGTTGAATTACCTTTTGATTGAAAAATGAATTTTCCTTTATTTGGTTTCTTTACACATTAACTTAAACGTCATTGTTTAATTCCTTCAGACTAGCAATCTGACCAGTGAATCTTTAGCATTTTACATGAAAACACAGACAAGTATTGCAGACAAGTGTTACAAATGTTGTTGTATTTGCTTTCTTAATGTCTGCAGGAGCTGTCAGAGAATCCTCAGTTTATAGTGGGCGGAGCCACGCGTACAGATATTTGCCAGGGGGCCCTAGGTGTGTATTCACTGCATACAGCTGGGTGTGTATGTTTGTTGCATGCTTGCACACGTTGGCGCAACAAACGTCGTTAACTTTATTTGTGGTTCACTGCAGTTTGAGTGATCCTGCAGCTTAAACTATGACCTTCACCAAAACTGTCACACAAAAACGTTCTCAAGAACATAATTTGGCTTAAAATGTTTGAGATAGATAAATAGACAGACAGACAGACAGACAGACAGACAGACAGACAGACCGACAGACAGACAGACAGACAAGCAGACAATCGAAATAATGGAGGCTGAATAGACTTACGGACACTTTATCAGCCAATTAGAAGCCAGAACTGGATCTCCTTCTGTTTGAATGATATAATTTGGCTTTTTAAAAGTTTGTTTTATGAATGAACTGATGACAAATCCCACTTAGTCTAAATCTGATTCATTACACCACTATGATCACATTCTTTGTGTTTTTATTGACTTAGAGAGGAAATGTGTGTTACGGGTGCAGATGAGTGAGTGTATCTGTGTGTGCATTTAAGTGTGTGTGTGTGTGGCTAAACACAATGGCTGAGTGATGAGTCACAGAGACATGGGTGTAGCTCTGGCGAACTCTGGGATAGCTGGCTGCAGTCCACAGCTCACGGTATATGTGTGTTTGTGTGTGAGCATGAGAGTGTTCGCTCTTCATTGCCAAACAAAGTTTGTACAGCAAACAGTGGGTGGAGGACGATTGGGGAGCTTATGACTGAAATACATTTTAACTTACAGTAAGCAAACACATTAAAGCTCATGGTGTGCTTAAAGCCTCCAAATTGGTTTAGCTTTGAAAAGGGCGTTTGAGATAAAACAGCATTCATCTAGAGTAAATGTTCAGTACTGAAGAACATTGTGCTGCTATCTCTGTGTACAAACAGTCTCCTCCCACTGTATGGCTGTAGGTGGAGGGCTCCCCCTAATGGGTCATTATAGTACAGGCTAATATTTACCATTGTAAAATATTACATTTTAATGAGCAATCACAGTTATTACAGTTATTATGAATGGGCCATTTTTCCATCTACGGGCACTTTTAGCCTTGTGAAGTTGAGTAAAAAAACTGGTTCAAAATTAATGTAACATAAGTTTAAACAATTTAAGATCTGTAAGAGGACAAACTTAGATAAGAAGAGAAAAAATGTTTCCATCGTGAACTGAACAAATGTCAACTCCACCACATCTCAATATACAGCTTTTATTTCAAAATAAAATAAATTATGGCAGTCAAACATTGTCTAAAATCATTTTTGATCAATAATAATTTGATTAAGAGCTTATTTGAAAATAAATAAACTGAATTTGTATATTAAATAGAGCATTAACTCATCAATTGTGAATACACTTTTAATGTGTGATTTTTATATTTATACAGTTGAATTTTTAAATATAAAGTTGAATTATTAGCGCCCCTGTTTATTTTTTCCCCAATTTCTGTTCTGTTCTGGGAAGATTGTTTCAGCACATTTCTAAGCATAATAGTTTTAAAAACTTATGTCTAATAACTGATTTATTTTATCTTTGCCATGATGACAGTAAATAATATTTTACTAGATATTTTTTAAGACACTTCTATACAGCTTAAAGTGACATTAAAAGGCTTAACTAGGTTAATAAGGTGAACTAGGCAGATTAGGGTAATTAGTCAAGTTATTGTATAACGATGTTGTGTTCTGTAGATTATCGAAAAAAAAAATAGCAGGGGCTAATAATTTTGTCCCAAAAATGATTTTTTTTTTAAATAATAACTGTTTTTATTCTAGCCGAAATAAAACAAATAAGAATTTCTCCAGAAGAAAAAATATTATCAGACATACTGTGAAAATTTCATTGCTCTGTTAAAAATCATTTCAAAAATATTTAATAAATAAAATTAAAATCAAAAGGGGGCTAATAATTCTGACTTCAACTGTATATATATATATATATATATATATATATTTTAATATTGTGTGTGGTGATGGAAATGACAGTGGTGGAAATTACATTTCAACAGATGAAAAATAGCTTCACCGATTAGCTTTAAATTGATACTAGCCTTTCATGTATACAAAACACTTTTACTTACCATTTTGTTTGGTTTTTAAAAACATCTCTGAAGGTACAACATGTTTGGAAATGACATACAGTACATGTATTTCCAATATTTACCTTGATTTTTCTTTAAGTGTTGTTGATAAAAATGTAAATTCCCTCCATCTTGAACATGTTCTCAGATGGCTCTATTCATCTATCTATGATAATAGTCTCACATTATTAACTATAAAATATTTAAATGACTTCACTTGTGCTTCATTAAGATACATTAATAGATACCAGATAAACAATATTTTAAAATGTTATTTTTATTGCTAAAGTTTAAAACTCTGGGTGTGCGACAAACAGTGATTTCGACGCCTAAAAGAAGGTTGAATAATATGAAAAAATATATAATAGAAAGGTAGTTATTTTTCAAAGTAGGTTTTATTGTCAGTTTGACAAGGAAAGAAAAATTTGTACAAAATATTAATATTTTTGGATATATGATCGAAGGACATAAAATTCCCGTAGTTGAAGAATTACCCTTATACAGTTTAAGCCTTCTAAACTTAATTATTTTTAAATTGTATGAAATGAATGGAAAAAAAACATTTAAAGCTCAATTCGTGATGCTATGTATGTCATTTTTTTCATTTGTCGTCAAAAGTAATCAAAAATAATACCTGTGTTTGAGATTTCAGCACTTCTCATCCGCCATTGGTCAGCCATATATAGTCAGGTTCAGCAGGTGCTAATATATCAGCTAATTTAGGAAGTCAATCTCTGCATGTCTAATTAGCTTAAACAATAGTGCCTTATCCTTCCAATGTAAACAAATGTCTTGCTTGTGTTAACTTTTGTATATTTAGGTGACTGTTGGCTTTTGGCTGCCATAGCGTCGTTGACATTAAACGACAAGCTGCTTCACAGAGTTGTACCACATGGGCAAAGCTTTACAAATGAGTATGCTGGAATCTTCCACTTCCAGGTGAGCAGCTGAATGACTGTACATCTATATATTATATAAAATCATGCTATACATCTTAATTATTATGTATATTTCTTTTTAAAAAATGTTATTTAGTGTAAATTTAGCTATTTTCTTACAACCTACTTCCAACACACTTTTAAATTGAAATGAGATTGTATGGTGTGGGTAGCAATATATCTTGCTTGTTTTTTACCGAGCTATGTTTGGAAGTCTTATTCGCTATGGAATCACACTCTGGATTGGAAATCTGTCTGTTCAATTGAAAAATAAATTTGGTTCATATTCCAAAAACGAGCCCATACAGACTCGGCCATGAGAAGAGCAATTAATATTAGTGTTAAATCTAAACATCCTCTTTTCAGTGAATATCAGCTGTTACCATCAGGAAAAAACTGAGAATGCCAATGGGTAAAACCAATAGATTGAAGCTTTCATTTGTTCCTACCTTGATAAAACTGTTGAACTCCACCAAGAACACTGCACCTGTAGTACATTAGCACCTGACTGTATTCTGTGCTCTATATATATTTCATATTTATATATTTATATATGGTCTTAGTCTGTAAACAATGTCTGTTCTTAATTGTTTGTTCTTAATTGTTATTTTTTGTTTTATTTATTGTCTGCCTAGTGCAGGGGTGGGCAAACTCGGTCCTGGAGGGCCGGTGTCCTGCACAGTTTAGCTCCAGCTCTAATCACACACACCTGCTTATAGATTTCTAGTGATCTTGAAGACACTGATTAGTTTGTTCAGGTGTGTTTGACTAGTATTGGAACAAAACTCTGCAGGGACACCGGCCCTCGAGGATCAAGTTTGCCCATATATATATTCCTCTCGGAGACATTATTCTATATCCTATCTTAAATAGTCAAATCTGCCTCCATCCAATCAATAACCAGTGTATAGAATGAAGCAGCTATCATATATAAAGGCTTGTGCACATCAGGATTTTTGTTTTACAAGGTTTTTGGGGAGGCAATTTTGGCTGAGCAAAGCAGAATATTGTGCAAAATCACTACCTGATGTTAGCTAGCGCTTAATGAAAAACAGAAATTCCTCCCCATAATGACTCCCTCTTGTGGACATTTTTGTACTTGCTGTCGTGTTTGTCAAACAGTTTTTTTTTGTGTTGAGACACAGATGACAAAAACATTCATCTTGCCTTAATGCTTTTTCGTCATTATGATTGTGTGTGCTCATCTAGACCATTTTGTGCATCACCAAGTTGTGTTTTATTGTAATTTTAGCAGGTCCAGGCGTGTTTACAAAACTGATAATCTCATTGGTTGACCAGGGGCCGGTTGCACCATTAGTTGTAAGTTAAATCGCATCCTAGTTAAAGGGACACTAAGTCACTACTTACACAATACTAAATATTTTTGTGTTGCACCACTGAACTTAGTTTAAACGTAACACTACAATCCAACAAAATATTTATGGCATTTAAATATTAATGTATAATGGTGGAAAAGAAATGACAGCAAGATTAGTTTACAGTAAGGAGCTTGCGATGATAATGAACAATGATCTCCCCATACTCACAGCTTTAATATATGTGCATCGTCTGTTATTACTGACTGACTGTAATTTAATGTGCTATAAAAATGTGATTTATAATTTCATTTTCATAGGACAGTTATATATAGAAACATTAGTTGCAGAATTTTAAAGCAGTTTAGAGTTCAGACTGCATGATTTTCAAAGTAGTCGTTTCACACTGAATCACTCTCTGGGCTAGCGTTTTGTCGCTGCTTTGTTACACTGCTTGATAGATCGACGACAGGAGGTTTCACACTGTACAATCGGAAGAATCGCCGACAACTTTGTTCAAACTACGTCTCACAATCAAAAACACGTAGTATATCTTTTGTTATTACTACATAATGAGAATGAAGCCTTTAGTGGGGTAAAAAATGTGCATATTTGCTCAGCTGGGTTTAAAGGGAATTAGCAATTTCTCCTCAACTTTTTTCCTTTTTGACCTGGTTGTAATATTGATCACATGACATGTCAAACAGACACAGTGCTCCTGCCAAATTTCCACTGGTTTTTCCTCCACTTCTTGGGTCTAAATAAACTGAAAATGAGCGCTTTTAACTTCTCCCTCAACCTCCTGCTGGCCTGCAGATACCCACACTAGTGGATGCTGCTCTCTCATTGGATGTAGGTGAGGATCGCCAATGTTATTTTCAGTCAAAACACATTTCACACGACATGATTTGAATCGCAGATAGCTCCAGATATTTAGTATGCTAAATATTATTTAGTCCGACTACGCATGACTTTATGGAGAGCTCACGACCTACAGTACTTTCTACAGTTTGCCTTAAGAACAGGTGGTGCAACCGAAGTAAGAACAAATTTAGTTACTAACTAGCTTGTAGTTACTAAGTCCCTAGTGTCAACGTTTAGGAAAGAACTTATGATCAGCTGGTGCAACCCTACCCAGTTCCTTAGGTGGTGCATCAAACCAAAATTTTTTTGAAACATTATTCAATAGAAATGCTTTCACACTTGCCGTTTTGCTTGTTGGTGTGACCAGTCATATTGGTGTCTTTGATTTAGTCATGAGGCATTAAACGTCAGCAATGAGTGCAAGTGTGTACGGGATCATCCCAGTGTGTACGGGACTTAACAGAAACATGGTACATAGAGGTAACATGTATGGTACACCAGCTTATAATGTTTGCATACAATACACATCCTTATATTCAACTAAAATCAACGTATTTACACACAAAATTTGTTAGAAGTCTGAAAACACACTGTTTTGAAAACGTGTTTCAAAATGCTCATTTTGTTATCATCTCTATATAAATGACAGAAATGTGATTTAAGTTTTTATTTTTTTTCGGTGGCATCATGCACAGCAAGTGTTCATTTCATAAGCATGTACCATTACTTGACATCCGAAAACACAGATGCACAAACACAGACATGTGAAAAAAATTTAAGTCGCCACCTACTGGTGGATCATTTCATCTGTACGTAATGCTTAAAACATTGCACACAATACGAAAATGCAAATGTTATTACGTTGACATGCAAACATACCCTTACACTAATATCATATTTTATTATTATTATTTTTATCATTATTTATCATGACTTATTGAAGGCGATTGTTGTGCACATTTGTCTGTAAAGTCATTTCTGTAATCAGTATTAAATTTCCAGCACGGCTTTCAGATTGAGTACCATTTAGTCACAGTTCACTGACAAGCTATTCAAAATGCCATTTCATATCACAGATGATTTATGCATGATCTATGTTGTTGCTACATTTGAACACATGTAAAATGCCATATTAACATGTGTTTGCTCCAAACTTACCTTATAACTTCAATCAAGTGCTTGAAACGAATCCTTATGTAAGGTAATTTAGTAGTTGAGTGACTGCTAGTCACGTTGAATCAACGAAAGCAGTTACATTTTCTCATTATACAGTAGCTAGTTATTGCGATTTCCTGTTTTTTTTTTCTTTGTGGTGTATTTAAATACATGAGAGCGTCCTCTGGCCTTCATCGGAGATTTACTATTGACACAGAACAGTTTTTTTTTCCTGACAAGTTAATTTAAAATTATTGTGCAACCCTAACATAAACTATTTTTGCTCGTGTTGTGCAGTTCTGGCAGTTTGGCGAGTGGGTAGACATTGTAATCGATGACCGCTTGCCTGTGAAGGATAAAGAGCTGATGTTTGTTCACTCAGCAGAGGGAAATGAGTTCTGGAGCGCCCTGCTGGAGAAGGCATATGCTAAGTAAGGCCTTTTTCTTCTCTCTTCTTTATCTGTATGACGATTATAGGCTCATTCAAAATTGCCTTCTACTCAGTAGGTACTACATCTGAATTTGAATTTACTACATGAACGTTAGAAAAGTACATGCTATATAGTATGAATTCGAGTTGTTGTTGGAACTCGAATGTACTACATCTGCCACTTTTTCAAGTTCACGTGACCTATCCTGGTTAGTTGCGTCGTGTGGGGGAAAAGGATTTATATATGTTACTTTTATGTCCTTATTTTTTATTGAATAAAGAGTTTAGACTTACAAAAAATTTATCAAACTTTTTCTCTTGTATGATACCATATATTAACCAAACATACTTCTTCTTTCTTACTGTGTTATATAATTGTAATGTAATGTAATGTAATGTAATGTGTATTTTTATAGCGCATTTATTGTGTATGGCCATACACCCAAAGTGCTTCACAATCATGAGGGGGGTCTCTCCACACCACCACCAGTGTGCAGCATCCACTTGGATGATGCGACGGCAGCCACAGGACAACGGCGCCAGTGCGCTCACCACACACCAGCTATTGGTGAAGTGGAGAGACAGTGATAGAGCCAATTCGGTGGAAGGGGATGATTGGGAGGCCATGATCGTAAGGGCCGATAGAGGGACTTTTGGCCAGGACACATACTACTTAGAAAGAACTGCTGACTAAAGGAAAATAGCAGAATAATAATAAATGTAGTGTGGGGGGCCTTTTGCCAGACTTCTGTCTGACAAAAAAATGTAGGCATGTCACAAGGAGTTGGATGCTTGTAGAAGTTGTAAAATATATTGAACTGTTCAGTTCTGGTATGCAGAAAAGGGTTGCAGAAAGAGGAAGTATGTTTGGGTGCAACAGCCAAAGGACTGCAGAATGACTGATAAGTGATGTTACACCAAAACTCCACTTGTTAATATCAGTTGTGCATATATGCTGGAGTCAGAGAAACGTAAACCAGTTGTGAACCTCCTGAATGTAATTTTTGTATTGCATTGAGATAACGTAACCCAGAGCTCTGTCCTTGAATTATAGTATCAAATAAATTACTAATATTTTTGGCAATAATTAGACAACCCTCTCCTCACCTTTTTTATTGAACATGCATGGAATTGGCTAGATATTCCAACAGTTGCCTCACTGCCATTCATGAGTTCTCCCGGATTCAGTGCATTCCATTAGATGCACACTTCAGAATCTCGCTGAAAGTAGTAGGTCATCCGGATACTTCTTGCATACTGTTTTTCAAATTCCATGAAATTAGACATAGTACTCTGCTTGCACACTGTTTTTAGCATACTATAGTATGGAAATATGCTATTTCAGACACAGCGTTAGTGATTATAACATGTTTATGTGCCTGTAGGCTAAATGGCTCATATGAAGCTCTGTCCGGAGGTTCCACCACCGAAGGCTTTGAGGACTTTACTGGCGGAGTTGCCGAAATGTATGAACTGCGCAGCGCTCCCAAAGACCTGCACCGCATCATTGCCAAAGCCCTGGAGAGAGGCTCACTGCTGGGCTGCTCCATTGATGTAAGTCCTCACAGTGCCTCCTAGAGGACTGAAGATGTAATGCAACATTTCTGGATGGCCAGTTTGGTTGAGTGTGTTTGTTTTTGATAGATCACCAGTGCCTTTGACATGGAGGCTGTGACCTTTAAGAAGCTAGTGAAGGGCCATGCTTACTCCGTCACAGCTCTCAGAGAGGTCAGGATCCCTCCTTTAAAATACATTTTCAGCTCATTGGTTGTTTATTATTCATTTGCGTGAAAAGGTTGCTGTTTTAATTTAAGGTGAATTTCCGTGGCAACAGAGAGAGATTGATCCGTATCCGAAACCCTTGGGGACAAGTTGAATGGACTGGGGCTTGGAGCGACAAGTAAGTCGACCAATCAGAATGAATTTGGGTAGTCATGAATAGCAAAACATGCTTATCATACTATAATTTTTGCACTCCGATTTCAGTTCGTCCGAGTGGAATGGGATTGATCCATCGGAAAGAGAGGAACTGAACAACCACATGGAGGATGGCGAGTTTTGGTAAATCTATCTCATCCACAGATGTTTATATTGTTTACATCTTTTACTTAATCCTCTGTTAGCCCAGAGAGTCAATTATTAAAAAGAATTATTCTATAATTTTCAAATCTCGAGAATCAAGAGTTGACTCTAAAGTTTTTTCAATACTCTAGAGTAAATTAAAAGGCTTACAATGTTTAATTATCAGACTACTATTTATCCTAGAAGAGCGCTAAAGATTAGTAATGAAGATTTTGATTCATCCAAGTCACTTTGTTCACAAAGACTGTCTAGGAGTCACCAACTGATTCATTCATTAACTCTTTCTTTAGTGTACAAACAAAATTAAGACTCTCCATCAGTTCCAAAAATGAAACAATTACACATTCCTTTAAAAGTGTGAATTTCAGTTGGCATATATGACTGAATTTGTTCTCAGGATGTCATTTCAGGAGTTCAAACGTCAGTTTTCTCGTCTGGAGATCTGCAACCTCACTCCTGATGCTCTGAGTGATGATTCCCAACATTTCTGGAACACAATTCAGTTTAACGGCACTTGGAGGAAAGGAAGTACAGCAGGAGGCTGCAGGAACAATCCCAGTGAGTCTTAGTTTATCAGCTATGGTCTAATATATACATGAGCTGTATGCCAAACCAATCCCTATCCACTATGATTTACTGAAGAGAAATACCAAAAAAAATAACACAACTGATTAAAAGATCGCGATGACATATGATTATGTGTGCAGGTGTTGTAGTGGTGTCCTGTTTCTTAGGGCTAAATTTTGAAGCCCTTCTCCTTCGCACCCTGTTTCAAGGGCCAAAGGGAAGGGGTACAAAAATAGAATTGGGCTTGGGCCTAAGTCAGCCATTTTGTAGTGCTGTTGTAGTAAATACCTTATTTCCTTACATTTGTTGACTACTTTTTACCCACAATCCACTCTGATTTCACATGTGTATTTTCAGTGTAAACTCGCCACAACAACATTTCACAAAATACACCATGAGAAAAAGAGACAAACACTGGAGGCGGCAAATTTTATTTACAATTTCAGCCAGGATTACATCAAGAGCCAGAGAAAATAACAAATAACAGATTTAGTTTCAGATATTAGTTTGGTTTATAACGTATTAGTTTATTTGTCATTAATTTTATTGTTTAAAATGTCATCTTAGATTTATGTAAAAATTTTATGAACAAATGTAAAAATTTTATTTTTACTTTAAAATATAATTAAAAGGTAAAAAAGCAGCAAGCAAAAAGTAGGTGTTTTTTTTCCTCATTTTGTTACCGAAGAATAAAATAAATCAGACAAATAGAATGTGACATTCAGTCCATAGAGCGAAGAAATCCAAGGAAATTTTACTGGATTTTACTTGACAAAAATGTAAAGTTACTCACCATTTACTCACTCTTCATTTGTTTCAAACATATGTAAGTTTTTTTTCTTCTGTTGAGTACAATAGAAGATTTTTTGAAGAAAGCTGGAAACTGTAACCATTGACTTCCATAGCATTTGTTTTGGAAGTCATTAGCTACAGGATTTCAGCTTTCTTCAAAATATCTTTTTTTAGTATATAACAGAAAAAATAAACTTATAAAGGTTGAGCTTGACCTACTTTGACCACTTTCAAAAGTAGTCTAAAATGGATTTGACCAGTGAAAAATAAATAGATTTTACTAGTGAAGTGCCTGAAAGTGGACAGAAGAAGAAAAAAAACAGGTGTCATCTACTTGTGATAGGATTACCCAAAACAAATCTTCAACACTCATTCTGAAAAAGTAGCCCTATATACATTTCTGGAGATTGCGAATTATGCAGCCAGAACTACACATGGCTGCATTTCATCATTGAAACGAATGCTATGGGGCAGTATGAGGCAGTTCCTTTTTGTGCTTACCAGATGACCACTTACCTCTGTATGGACGGCTTTCCCGCTGTCACCAGGTTGTTCAGTAGCTCACCATGTATGTTGGTGGACCTGAGACTCGGAGAGGAGTTGACCACTAGGACAGGGTTCGAGTCAGGTAAAGAACGGTTTCAGAAAGGGTGTAAGACAGAAACAGAAGCCAACTAAACAAGTAAATAACAGGGTGAAAATGTGATCAAATCTGAAAATATGGTAAAAATCAGGCGAGGGCTTTACTTTTTCTGAATTGCTTATCAAAACACTGTGGATTGGGTTTAGGGAAGTGGGTGGATGGGTCAATATGTGCTTTTGAAAATACTATTGGTTGGGTTTAGGGAAGGAGGAGGGTGGGTCAGTCGATCGGCCAGTCAGTCAGTAAGTCAGTCAGTCGGCAGTAGCCTTTGGTGGATTTACGTGTGAACAGCAGCCACGAAGGGCACTCGTGACAGAAATTTGAGATTTTAAAAAAGCATACAAAGTGGCCTCTGGTGTATTTGTGAAAACAAAAACTGCAAAAAAACATACATGTTGGGACATATTTGGTGCTCTCCATAAATGTATATAGCGGTATGATTTCAGAATGAGCAAGGGTTGCAAATCTTAGTACGAGGTGTAAACATACGCTTTGTTTGTTGTCTCTTTTGTAAGACACATTCTGGATAAACCCTCAATATAAGATCACACTACTGGAGGAAGATGATGATCCTGAGGACAATGAGGTGGCCTGCACCTTCATGGTGGCTTTGATGCAGAAGGACAGACGGCGTTTCCGCAAGCAGGGACAGGACATGCACACCATCGGCTTCGCCTTATATGAGGTTGGAGGTCATAAGCTGACATAGAACAGTCACACACATTTAAAAGTACCATGATTTTGTCTAATTTATTTATTCCTGTTTTTTCTCATTTCTAGGTCCCAGATGAGGTATGGCACGTTTAACACTATATGAATCGAAAGTTTGAAATTCAAATTAAAAAAATTGTATGTAAAATGCTGAGGCGTCATTCAGATATGTGTAAACAGGACGTTTCGGAGACTTTTATTTCAGTGTATTGATGTACTTCAAACTGAAATGGAATATTGAGTAGTGGCGGGCATTTCTTTTTCGCATAATTCGCTTGTTGCAAACTAATGGCATTAGGGGCATGGTTAAGAATATGGACTCACCATGTGGTTAGGCAGTGTTGTCAACTTGGATTTAGCTAAAAAAAAATTCAAAAAGCACCTAGCAACAAATTCTGCAATTTTTAACATTTGCTTTTAAAAAGTGTCTCAAATCAAAAGTGCAGTTGTGACCAAATACTGGTCTAAATAGCTGGGCACAGAAGATGCAGCAGCAGCCAATAGTATGTTTCTGCACAACCAGAGAGGATGGAAGGTATTTTAAGATCCTGTTGTTCCTGACCTGTTCAGTAAAGGGTTTAGGGGTAGGGCCATAATAAATCCTAAAAATGCAGTCATGAAACTGTAGTCTCTCTTTTTATGCTAGAACACCAGCAGTATTTGTTGGCCTGCATATTTTTGGTGAAATAAATAAAACCATAACTAAACAATTGTTTGATGCAACAGTTGTCAATTTGTCACTAACATGTATAATTGTTGTTCATTTAGGTAGCACTAACTACCAATACAGTGCTCTAACTGAACATTCACATAATGTTTCTGCTGAAAGGCCATTCTTTGAGAAAACTCATTTATTATTTTGCACACTACATAAAGATGCAGTTTTGTGTTGTGATTACACAATGACGTCATCATACAATGATATCACGTCATTTAACAACTTTTAGTAACACATTGCTTCACCTTTTGCAAATTCAAAACCAGTAGTTGGCAACAGTGTGATTGGGATTAGAAGGTAAGTTAGGTTAAGGTTAATTATGCAAAAATAAATTTTAATTACTATAGTACATACATGGAACATGTAACAAGGGCACTTTAAAATGAAGTGTTACCCAATTATTTTTCAAATCTGTTTGGTGATGCAGCAGTTTTATTTTTGAATGTATTGTAAAACATGAGGTTAATAATTTAAAAAACTTTTACTTTTCTTCTGTTTTTAGTTTCTTGGCTCCCAGAATGTTCACCTGAAGAAGGATTTTTTCTTGCGTCACTCGTCCTGTGCACGCTCCGAGACCTTTATTAATCTGCGAGAGGTGAGCACGCGACTGAGGCTGCCACCGGGCGAGTATCTCATTGTCCCTTCCACTTTTGAGCCTGGAAAAGAGGCTGACTTCGTCCTGCGAGTATTCACTGAGAAACAGTCAGAAACTCAGTAAGTGACTAAACGATTAAAACTAAAATAACAATAGTATTATAGATAAAATATTTTTAAAAATGACTACCATGTGGGTTTTGTATTGTGCAGCCTTATTTTACGACATATTTTGCTTTTTCTTTTATTTTTAGAGAAATGGATGATGAAATTTCATTTAACCTGGAAGATGAAGTAAGGACTTGTTATTATTGTGGATGTGGAAACTAAATGCATGTATGTATGTAAATATATAGATTTATATACTGTACAAATCAACTACCTAGAAAGGCTCTACTACATACCTAGCAACCCCTTAGCAACACAACAGATATACTTTTAACACTTTAATACTTTCTCTCAGAACACATTAATAACTAAACAAAGTCAGCACATTAAACTTTTCAAAACAAAGCAATACGATCATTTAGAACAACATAGCAACATAATAAATCCCTTAGCACACTAAAGCCCCGGTCAGATAACACGATTTTTATTGTTGATTATGAAAGTCACTGTCAGATTACGCTTTTTTTTTTTTTCTTGATAAAATCTTGACGTGTCGTGGGTAACAAATGTGCCAGACTATCGACCTTATTCTTCAATGCTGACGTGAGCTCGATTTCACGATTGTTTTAGAACTTCCGATTCAGCTGCCTATGGGAGAAATTACTAGGAATAGTAAACTGCAGAAAATGACTAAACCACTTGCTCTAAAACAAGTGTTTGCACGACTAAACAGACAAAGCAGAAGCATATAATAAGAAAATTTGCAATATCAAGCAGCAAAACCAACAGTTTTTAACGTTTAAAAATGAATGGAAATGAATCGAAGCTTGCAGACAATGAATAACTACATTATTTAAGGGCCTTCATTACAACATGGATTGGAAAAAACTTATAAATCCTTTTCAATATTAAGATATTTTCTTTGAAATTAAATGTATATTTTCCTGCCATGTGTTTTTTAATAAACACTCCCTTGAAAATGAAAGTGAAAATGAAAATGAAAGAAGCAAGGAAAAATCAGATGCTCAAGATGTAATCTTGAGAAATAATGACATATTAATAAATTAGCAACTATATCCAGGGTTCATACACATTTTACCTACTAAAATTCCATCAATTTTCCATGATTTTTCCAAGATTTTCAAGTAAATTTTCATGACCTAATGTTTCATGCAGTGTCTACATATGCAGGGTAAAAGAAAAACAACGCATGTTAAAATATTTGACAGCATATCGTAAAACACGCTGCAATCTATTTAGTTTCAATTTATATTTTTATCTATTTAAAATTTATTTAGATAATGCTTACACCAGAATAGAATAGAAGTCAAGACAACTTTACTTCAGGACGCATTAATGCCGCTCTATAGGTCTATTGGAGAGATTCAGAAATATTCTTAGCAAATCTAGTGAATGTTGGAAACATCCTCGTTACATAAACGCACTAAATCACTCTTCAGAAGTGTTTATTTGAGAGTGCACAAGAGAATCTGCACTTAGGCAGCGTATATTTGAGGGCGTGCAAGAAGTTTTGTGCACGAACAGAGGAAATCGGTGCGAAAGCAAAGACATTTGCTTGCTCATATTACATAAATGTGATCTTGACTTGTGATAATGCACTAACGACATTTGTCATAGAAATAACGCCATAGGTAGTTGGTAGATCTGTGCAAAATGCCTGCCGCAACAGCTGGAAAAAATCCTAGAGGAAACACTCTAATCCATATTCAAGAATTCAGATATTTGTTTTCCATGACTTTTCCAAAACTTTGTAGGTTTTTCTGTTTTTCCAAACTTTTACAGGTCTGGAAAATGCCAGGTTAATATTCCATAACTTTTCCAGGTTTTCCATGGCGTATAAACCCTGTATATAACTGAGATTTGTGATACAACAATCACAGTGAAGCATTTATTTATTGCTTTTTTCCTCAGAACAAAACAAATCATCCACCCATATAGTTGAGTAGTGGGGGGGCACAAACAAAAATTTAATTCGTATATTTTTCCTGGAAAAAAATATCTTTTTGAAATTAATTTTATTTCAACTTAATTTTATTAACTTAATTTTAATGTATCTTTTGTTGATCAGTTTTCTATAAACAAGAATAATAAATGACATTTGAGGAGAAGCGCTTCAAAACAAGTCTGCTCTATATGCTTCAGCACAAAAACACGAATTTCTATGAGATTGTGTTGGTTTGTTAAATAAAATAATAATTTAGCCTAAATAAAACTAAAGTGAAATATTCATAGTTTCAGAGAAGACTATATTAAACTGTTTTCAATATTAATAACTAATCTTAATAAGCAGGACATGCTTTTGCAATGTATTCGCAGCACTGAACTTGTTTCCAGATTACCTCGGAAGAACAAACTCTGTTGGAAGGATGAGAGTACTCAGAAACTCATCGTGAGAATGGAGATGTCTGCATATTTGTGCCAGTCTGTCAGATAAAAATGCTTAAAACACCTTAATATTTTAGATTTAAATTAAAATTTGCATAACCAACGACTGATCTACTCGGGACTCGCCCGTAAGCAAATATGCAGCCTATTTTTTGACTATCTGACCATCGCTTTAACAGCAGCATCCGTGAATATAACCAAGAAACTACCCAATTACTGTGTCACCCATGTGACGGAACTCGTCGTGAAGAACAAGAAAAAAATCTGCGATGGTGTCATGAGGTGTCACAGACATGGTATTAGTTGACATGAACTTTGCCACATTACACAAGAAAAAAAGATTGAATCTTGTGACAAGATGCTCATTTGTCATTTACGAATCCCCACGACACCTTACTGTACGTCAAGGAAATCGTGCCGAAATTCTGACAAATTTGTGTGATTTGACTGGGGCTTAAAGCTACCACACTGCAACACAATAAAACACTTAGCACACCATAACAACCACATAGCATCACTATAAATCACTTAGCACACCATAGTGACCACATAACATAACAATATAATTCTTTCAACTTCTTAGCAACCAGGGCTGCAGCTCTGCATAGTTCAGCTCCAACCCACACCTGCTTAATAGTCTCTAGTAATCTTGAACACCTTCATTAGTTGGATCAGCTGTGTTTGATTAGGGTTGGAGCAAAACTGTGCAGAGCAGCGGCCCTCCAGGAATCCAGTTTAAGACTCATACCTTACCACAATATTCAGATTAAAAATGAAACGAAATGTATTATAATACAGTGTATGGACGTCTGTTGTATCTACAGGAGGCAGTCTCAGAGGAGAACATTGATGCCTCGTTTAAAAAGATGTTTGCTCAGCTGTCTGGAGAGGTGTGTTTGTATCTGTGTGATATTGTTAATAACATTGTGAACTGCGTTATATTAAAAGTTCATCTAAACTTGTAGGACATGGAGATTTCAGTTCACGAGCTCCGGACCATTCTGAACCGAGTGATGACAAAACGTAAGCTCAGAGGACGTTTTTAAAAAATTCAGATCTGATGTGTTTACATTTTTGTGCTCGATAATTACCTCTGCTCTCCTGTGTTCTGCAGACCGAGACTTAAAGACAGATGGGTTCAGTTTGGAGTCTTGTAGGTGCATGATCAACCTGATGGACGTATCCTAACATTCTGACTTTTAAAAACGTATAAATAGCATATATACTTTCACCTTGCTAGTACCACTTTTTGCATTCAGAAGAGCATTTGGGGCACAGATTCCAGAATGTAATGGAAACATTCCTCAAAGATTTGAGTCCAAATTGCACTGACAACATAAGATTCAAATTCCAATTCTTCCAGTGAACTGTTTATACAAGACAGGTTTGCCAAGTCAAGTTAAGTATTATTGTCCGTCTTTAAGGTCACAAGGTACAGTATAGTGAATTGTTGTGTCTCACAGGACCACGGTGCTACATACTAATGAAACATTTATTCATTGATTCATTTTCTTGTCTGCTTAGTCCCTTTATTAATCCGGGGTCGCCACAGCAGAATGAACCGCCAACTTATCAAGCACAATTTTACGCAGCGGATGCCCTTCCAGCCGCAACCCCTCTCTGGGAAACATCCACACACTCATTCATACACACACTCATACACTATGGACAATTTAGTCCTCCCAATTCACCTGTACCGTCTTTGGATTGTGGGGGAAACCGGAGCACCCGGAGGAAAACCACGTGAAGGCAGGGCGAACATGCAAACTTCACTGAGCCGAGGTTCGAACTAGCAACCTTCTTGCTGTGAGTCGACAGCACTACCTACTGCGCCACTGCGTTGCCCTACTAATGAAACATAAAAAATACAAATATTTAACAGAGAAAAACTGTAAAGTAAACATTGTAAACCTATACACATCTAGGAACTCTTTTACTCAATACAGGGTTCGCACTGGTCACTGAATTTTAGAAGGTTTATTCCACTGAATGTCAGGGTTTTATTTATTTATTTATTTTGTCCAAGTCATGGAATGTTTGGGATTTTTGTTATTAATTGAAAATATTTCCAATTAATTATCAAAATGTCATTTTTTATTGTGTTTATTTATTTTAGCTTTTTACAGTCACTGACCAAACTAAAAATATGACATATGTAGACATATAGGAACCTCAGAATTTAATAGAAAATGAGGCAAATACTGTAACTGCGAAAATGTTGACTTTTTGACAAAAAAAAAAAAAAAGAAGAACTACCTCTTTTAATAGGTTGGCTACTGGCCTGATTTATGACCTTTATTTTTTGAACATGACAGTGTGTTCGTTGTACTCAAATGGCCTACACAGTTACCAATCCAATAGAGCACCTTTGGGATGTGGTGGAATAGCAGATTCGCATTATGGATGTGCAGCTGACAATGTGGGCAGCAACTGCGTGATGCTATCATGTCAATATGGACCAAAATCTCTGAGGAATATTTACCTTGTTGAATCTATGCCACGAAGGTTTAAGGCAGTTTTGAAGGCAAAAGGGGGTCCAACCTGGTACTAGTAAGAAATACCTAATAAAGTGGCCGGTGAGTTTATTTGGGTGGTGTGAGGACCCTCTTGGAATTACTGTTTACTTATTTATTTATTTATTATTATTTTTTTTTATCAAAAGTAAATTCTATTTTTGAAGTCTAAACATGCTCGAAAACTTACAAAATTATGCACACACACCAGACTTTTTTTTCTTTTTTAACATTTAATCTTGGTTTCAGAACTCTGTGGCTCAATAGCACCACCTACACACTTTCAACACTGCCCATCAGCACACATATGAAATACCTATTAAACTTGTATTTTAACATTTAATCAGATCGATACCAAATTTGAGCAGTGTAATCTCAAGGCATTTGCCGTGTTAAATTGTAAAGATCTAGATGTTTTGTCATATTTTGTTTCGAATGGGAAAAGAAGGTTCTCAGGGAGACAATGTTTGATCTCAGTTTGAACTGACAGAAGGAAGTTTGTAACATGTCAGTGTTCTTCTTATAGCTTAAATACATATTTCTCTGTCATCCTAATGCCACCAGACAATTTTGGATTTTTTGCCACACAGAAGTGTTCATTGAGGTTTAAATGATTTCAGTTGAACCACTGAAGTCACATGAAATATTTTGATAAAGTTTTTGGTTTCTCTGGGAATTCATCTGGGAAGTTGTGTTCTGAAGATTAACAAAGATCACAGGGGTTTGATATCACATGAGGGTATATACAGTTGAAGATAGAACTATTAGCCCCCCTTTGATTTTATTTTGTCTTAATTAAATATTTTCCAAATTATTTTTAACAGAGCAAGGACATTTTCACAGTATGTCTGATAATATTTTTTCTTCTAAAGAAAGTTTTATTTGTTTTATTTCGGCTAGAATAAAAGCAATTTTAAATTTAAAAAAACAACTTTTTTTCAAGTCTACAGAACAAGCCATAATTTTAAAATAACTGGACAAATTACCCTGACCTTCCAAGTTAACCTGATGAACCTAGTTAAGCCTTTGACTAGATATTTTTCAAATATAAAATATATAAAAAATTTGTTAAAAGGGGCTAATAATTTTTTACCTTAAAATGTTTTATTTTTATTTTTATTTTATTTAAATTGCTTTTATTCTAGCCGAAACAAATAAGACTTTCTCTAGAAGAAAAAATAATATCAGACATACTGTGAAAATTTCCTTGCTCTGTTAAACATCATTTAGGAAATAATTAAAAAAGAAAAAAATATTCCAAGGGGGTCTAATAATTCTGACTTCAACCATAAATATATCTTTATCATCTGATTATTAATAAGAGTTTAGTTTAGTCTCCTTGATTGACTGAACTCAGAAAGACGGCAGTGCACGACTGGGAATTGTGGAGTTCCAGATTCTGTGGAATAAAATCAGGAAGTGGCTGGTGAGAAACCGACTGCTGCATGATCTTCATTACATCTTATGAAATGTAAAGTCGCAACCCAAACTCATCTGTCTTCATCTGCAGGGTGTCTTCAGACAGTTCGATCTGGATAAATCTGGAACTATGAGCTCCTACGAAATGCGCCTGGCTGTGGAGTCTGCAGGTGATCAATACTTTTTCATGCTCATCTCATGAAAATCTTTGGCTATGGTATGTTTTTAGTGTTTGAGATTACAGAGGCATATCTGTGTTATTTTCACTGTGATTCATAAGCTTTTAATTTGATACCAGTTTCAAACCAAACTTTAGAACCAGTTAAATTAAAATGAATTCCTAACTGACCAAGTAATTTTGTGTTTATTAAACATCTATAGTCGGCACCATTAGCCTATAGTCATGTGCTCACGGTGACCTGAGTTCAATTCCTAGCTCGAGGTCATTTCCCTCTCTTTCTGCTCCCCATTCATTACTAAATCCCTCTCCACTGCCCTATCAAATAAAGATTTTATATATATATATATATATATATATATATATATATATATATATATATATATATATATATATATATATATATATATATATATATATATATATATATATATAAAATCACATTTAAAATAGTCCAAATTAAGCTCTTAGCAATGTACATTACTAATCAAAAATTAAGTTTTCATGTATTTACAGTAGAAAATTTACTGAGGCTCCGTTTACACTAGTGCGTTTTAGTTTTAAAACGGCGTTGTAGAATGAAAACGATCCGCGTCCACACTCGCGTTTTACCCAGCGTTTCTGAACTGCTCTCCGTCCACACCAAAACGCTGAAAACGCACACCACGTGACCACACACACACTCTCGGGCAAGCGCTCCAGCATTTCTACCCAGATGAGAGCTCTGCTTGTCGGACTGCTCATCAAGCATCTCCCGCTGGATCTAATCTCACTATATTTGCTGAATGTGATATTTCATTCATGTTGTTGTCTTTATCTAACGACATAGGCCAATTCCCTGACTTTGGTGATTGGAATCTATTAAGTTACTTGTTCACGGGTAACATGTTTTGGTTAAGCGCAAAGATAAGTTAATGATTAATCCAGGTATATTGACTGATCGCTTGCCTTTATTTCCTACAATGTATAAACTTATTGTATGTTATACTTTTATAATTATCGATTATTAAAACTGATACTCAGCAAAAGAGAGGGTGTGTTTCGTATTTTCACTGAAACTGAAAGGAGGCAGTTGTTATCGGCTTCGTTTTGTTATAAATATCCACACAAAAGATGACGCTCATATATGCAGCACGGCGCCTCAACATTTCTGCTGTCTGTTAAGTTGCTAATATTAAAAAGAAAATAGGCAGTTCCTTAAATCATGTTTATATTTTATTGTTAAAAAAGTGAAACAACGTAGCCAAGGTGATGTGAATGAAGTTATAAAGTACACTGTTCCCTTTGAAGATTTACCCGTGTCCTCGGTATGTTTTCCATATCAAACTGAGAAGGGGGAGACTGCAGCCTTGATCAAACTTGCGAAGTCTTAACTTACAAGAAAAGGATGCGAGACTGAACTGTGTGTGGGCTACTTAATATTGAGGAATAGCCCCAATTAGATAGGCGAACGTTTGCAGCCCCGCCTCCGTTTTCAGATGTCTCCGTCTTTCCCCATCCACACTGAGACGGAGCAGCAGCGTTTCAGAATGAAAACGGCCTCTCCAGCGTTTTCAAAAAGCTACGTTTTCGGCGCTCGAGAACTCCGGCGTAGTGTGGACGGATGGCGTAACCGTAGCAAAACTTATGCGTTTTCAAACTAAAACGCACTAGTGTAAACGGGGCCTGAATGTCTTCAAGGATCTTTTGTTTTGTTTTGTTTTGTCCAGTACAATCTACTTTTGGTTATTGTCAAAAATATACCAACCAACCCACAATGCATCTGCCTGTGTCCTTATCCTCAGGTTTTAAACTCAATAACAAGCTACATCAGATCCTGGTGGCCCGATATTCAGACGGAGATGTGATTGACTTCGACAACTTTGTCTGCTGCCTGGTTAAACTGGAGGCCATGTTCAGTACGTCATTTACATTATATTCTACTTTTGTGTTAATATATTTGCTATTATCCCACTGAAACATCTGAGTCAATATCTCATCTCCAACAGAGTCTTTCAAAGAGCTGGAGAAAGAGGGCTCAGGTGTCGCAGAGCTCAATATTAGCGAGGTCAGTCATTTCTTACTTTCTAAGTAATGCTGTCAAACAATCAATCACAATTAATTTAGGAATACATTATAAATATTCACAGCACATGCAGATATATATTATGTGAATACAGACTTTTATTGTGGATGTGACTAATCATTGGACAGCATTACTACTAAGCTTTACCAATACTCCTCAGTTGTTTAATTTATTGTGCATTATTGAAGGAAAGTATATATTTGATTAGCTCTTGCTCTCGTTAACAGTGGCTGTATTTGACCATGTGCGGCTGAAGTGTGAAGAGTGTATCCTAAAGGACGAGAAGGACCAAAATCACACTCCAACTGCAGCTTTAAGCCATTACACCCAAAGACGCCGGAGCAATACAGTACAAACTGCCTTAAAACACATCCAATCCAACCATCACACAAGCTTACGCCACTGTATGCTTTTATAAAGGACATCCACATTATGCAAGAGTCCATCAATAATGTAAATGATAAATATATGAGTTGCAGCATTTCAGAAAGCAATGGCTTCATGACTAACCGCATGACTAATCTTAACGCTGTAGGTTATTTTATTCTACCTTGCATATATAGATTAACTCTTAACATTTTGAGGTTTGCACCATTATGGCCTTGCTATTTAAAGACATGTACATTTGATTTGAGATCTTTTTAGGGTATGATTTTGATAGTATTTATAATCACTGTGATCTGCTGTGCAAAGATTATTTAATTCTTTATATATAGAAGCAACAAGTACGTATAGGATATTCAGGGATTTGTGCTAGCCCAGACTAGATCTTTCTTTTATGCTGCTTCAAAGTATGAAATGAAAATAAAGTTTCAATTGAAACTTATTGGTATGTTATGGGTTTTAATTGCAAATATGGGTGTGTATGTGAAAGGGCTGGAATATTAATTTAAAAATATTATTTACATTTTGTAAATAAAAGTATTATATGTATACGGTGGCCGAAAGAACCTAACGTAATGCAATTCAAGAAAACACATGCAATTACAAAAAAAAAAATCTGTAAGTTACGAAAAGATTCTCATCGGTTTGACAGCACACATGCTGCAAATCCTCACAATGCAAACAAATTAAGAAAACGCACTGCATTTTATCACAACACTTGCAAATAGTGCAGAACACGATGGAAATGTTTCAAGAGGACCCTAAAAAGTGACAGAGACCCGGCTAGTTGCTTAGGCTATAACAGTGGTTCTCAAACGTTTTTCATCAAGTACCACCTCAGAAAACAATTGTGTCTCCAAGTACCACCAAAATGAGCAGTATTGAAATACAGTAGCGCAGTAGGTACAGTAAAGCAGCTACAACTCTGCACAGTTAAAAAACGTGGCAGATTACCTCAGAAATATAGGCTATATGTCATATATGACATATTATATACATCATTTTTGATAAATTTTGTAATGTGTGTAGCATGTACATGACATATTTCATTCCTCCGCGTACCACTAGAAGGAAGCCTGCGTACCACTAGTGGTACACGTACCACAGTTTGAGAACCACTGGGCTATAAAATACAAAAGACAAGGGAATCAGGATATTAAAATAAACAAACAAAAATAAAAATCACCTTTCAAAGGTCACCTACAACTTCACTGAGCAATAGTAATAGCTGCAGCGAACGTTTTAGGGTCTCCTTGAAACATTTCCATTGTGTCTTGTTCTATTTGCAAGTGTGAGAAAATGTAGCGTGTTTTCTTAAACTGTTTACGTTGTGTAGAAAAGCAGGTCGTTTTTTTATGTGCATACTCTGTGAAGATTTGCAGTATGTGCTGTCTAACGGATAAAGATCTTTTCTTAATTTGCTGATGTTTTTTTGTAATTGCATGCGTTTTCAGAATCAGAAAGAGTTTTATTGCCAGGTATGTTTGCACATACGAGCAGTGTTGGGGAGTAACTAGTTACATGTAACAGCGTTACATAATTTAATTACAAAATAAAAGTAATAGTAATTAGCTACAGTTACTGAGAAAAAATCTGTACTTAAATTACAGTTACTTAAGAAAATGTTAAAGATTACAAATATGGTTACATCCAAATATACTGAATAATATTAATCTGTTGCTTTGCCTGTTTTTGATATGCACGATGTCTTTTGTTAAGGCCATTTATTAAAGAGCTGCTATTCTGATGCTTTTGATTAGTTTTCCAGTTTGAGGATTCTTTGTTTTTGCTTTATATACTACAATTGGTTTCTGTTTGGTACAGCAAATTATTTACAGTAAATAATTGAACTGAACAATTCTGCCTTATATGATTTATTGACAGTTTTATTCATCACTAAGATGTGATTGACTTGGATTTAAGCTGCTTCGATTTAAAAATTCAAATAGCAAAATAGGTTAGATGTATTTTTTGGCAAATGCCACAAAAATCACCCTGCACAACTAACAAAATGTTTTATTTTGTAACAACAGTTTTTTGTTATAAGGTCTGGTTTTGTGGTGGCTGTACTTTAAAATGAAAAATATATAATCTTAATTCAAGTTAAGAGGGATTCTAACAGTAAACAGATCTACTGTAAGGTCACACCTACTCAGTGTAAATGCTTGAAAATGATTAAGTTGAAAATATCCATTAGAAACCTAAAATTAATCAAAAAGTAATCAGATGTAATTAGTTACTTTACTTTTAAAAAGTAATCGAAAATGGACACTACTTATTACATTTTAATAGGGTAATTTGTAATCTATAATCTATTACATTTTCAAAGTAACCTCCCCAACACTGCATACGAGGAATTTGTTTTTGTGACAGAGCTTCTACAGTGCAACAGAATTACAGAGACTGGACAATAAACAGATAATAAAAATATAAAAAGCAGTAAGTAGTGAATGCAAATATACAAATAGACAAGTGTATGTAGAGCTATATTACTATATACAATGTTATATGTGCAGCTGTTATGTGCAAATTGGCATGTAAAGTGTGTTGTTAAATAAGTGTATATGTGTATAAAAGTGTGTGGCAAGTAGTGATGTTTGTTCCACAATTATTATTATCAAGTGTTCATGAGATGGATTGCTTGAGGGAAGAAACTGTTTCTGTGTCGGGCTGTTCTGGTGCGCAGTGCTCTGTAGCGTCGACCAGAAGGTAATAGTTTAAAGAGGCAGTGTGCTGGGTGTGAGCGGTCCAGAGTGATAAGTACAGTTCTTGAGTAGTAGGGAGGGTTGTACTGATGATTCGCTCAGCAGTCTGAACTATTCGACATAGTCAGATTTGGTAGCTGAGCTAAACCAGACAGTTATTGATGTGCAGATGACTGATTCAATGATGGAGGTGTAGAACTGTTTCAGCAGCTCCTTTGGGAGGTTGAACTTCCTCAGCTGACGAAGAAAGTACATCCTCTGTTGAGCTTTTTTGACAGCGGAGTCAATGTGAGTGTCCCACTTCAGGTCCTGAGAGATGGTGGTGCCCAGGAACCTGAATAACTATACTGCTGCCACAATGCTGTCCATGATGCTCAGTGGGGGGAGAGCAGGGGGGTTTCTCCTGAAGTCAACTATCATCTCCACAGTGTGTTGAGCTCCAGGTTGTTGTGACTGCACCAGACAGCCAACTCCTTAACCTCCTGTCTGTAAGCAGACTCATCACCTTCCTGAATGAGGCCGATAAGTGTGGTGTGGTCTGCAAACTTCAAGGGTCCTTTAAAGTGCAGTCATTTGTGTACAGAGAGAAGAGCAGTGGGGAGAGGACACACCCCTGGGGGGCGCCAGTGCTGATTTTGCGGACGCTGGATGACAATTTCCCTAGCTTCACCTGCTGCTGCCTGTCCGTTAGGAAGCTGTTGATCCACTGACAGACAGAGGTGGGCCCAGAGAGCTGAGTTAATTTGGGCAGGAGAAGTTTTGGGATGATAGTGTTAAAAGCCGAGCTGAAGTCAACAAACAAGATCCTCACATAGGTCCCTGGTCTGTCTAGGTGTTGCAGAACATAATGCAGGTCAGTGTGCATGTATATATATATACAGTGTGGGCCATTTATATGGATACACCTTAATAAAATGGGAATGGTTGGGATATTAACGTCCTGTTTGTGGCACAATAGTATATGTGAGGGGGCAAACTTTTCAAGATGGGTGGTGACCATGGTGGCCACTTTGAAGTCGGTTTCAGGTGCTGGACATCTTGTATCTTCACACCATAGACAAAAAAGATAGTGGGGCCATTCTTCATCAATGGAAACCTCAAGGCACTGGATATTTGAAATTGGTGCATGGTGATGTGTTTCCCTCTTTATGCACTGAAGCTGAAGTTTCCCAGTTTTTTTCCAGCAAGATGGTGCACCACCACATTATGGGTGTGAGGTCTGACCGAGCATTCCTAGATGAACAGTCTCCTGATAAGTGGATTGGTCGTCGTGGGCCAGTTGATTGGCCCCCAAAGTCCCCTGATCTGACCGACTTAGAATTTTATCTTTGGGGTCATCTGAAGACAATTTTCTATGGTGTGAAGATACAAGATGTGCAGCACCAAAAACTATGGATACTGGAAGCCTGAGCTGGCATTTCTCCTGTCCTTTACTTGGTCCTCCACCAGTCAAAAAAAAAAACAAAAAAAACTTCATGTTCTTTGTGGAAGAATTTTACAGTCAGTGGTGCTGCAGATAAAACAAAGTGATACTGTATAATGTGTGCAAAAGTGAAATCAGCAGAGATATTAAACATCTGTCAACATCTTCTATGCATAATCATTCATTTCTTTTCGGCTTAGTCCCTTTATCAATCTGGGGTTGCCACAGAGGAATGAATCACCAATTTATCCAGCATATGTTTTACGCAGTGGCTGCCCTTCCAGCTGCTACCCAGCACTGGGAAACATCCATACACTCTCTTTCACACACATACAATAGGGACAATTTAGCTTACCCAATTCACCTGTATTGCATGTGTTTGGACTGTGGGGGAAACCGGAGCATCCGTAGGAAACCCACGCCAACATGGGGAGAACCCAGTCGAGGCTCCAACCAGCAACCTTCTTGCTGTCAGGCGACAGTGCTACTCACTGTGCCACCGCGCAACCTTCTATGTAATGTATTATCACATGCACTAAAAGCATCCTCTCCTGATACTGTCTGTGAACCCCCCACAAGCATCAATCCCCTCAATCAGCCCAGCTATGTTCTGCTAAATCCTCCACAAGCACCAAACCATCAACACAGCCACATTCTGCCCCAGCAAGTCAGTTTCAAACATAAAAACATAAAAAAAAAAAAAAAAAAAACTGTGTCTGTTTTGTGGCTGGCAGATGACAATAGCAGGGCTGTATCTTTTAGCATTATATAGAATACTTTTGTTCTGCCAGATCTCCTAGGCAGGGATTTATTTAGATTTATTTAGCTAATTTTAGTTTTTGAAATTCTTTGCATTGGAAAGAAGTTCTTTCAGAAGAAGAACAGTTTTTTTTAAGTATTATTTGTTTTTATTCTGTCTATTCAGTGTCCTTCAACAAGAACGGTGGTGGTGGGGTTCATAATATTCACAATGGTATTTTATTAGTTGTTGGTTTAACCATGGATGAGAAAATGGCTTCTATGTTATTTTCTTTTCAATGACATTTCTTGTCACATGTTCAAAAACAACAACCAATATTGCATGTCTATAATTTATATAATGGGTATAATTAAATAATACTTTCACTATAACGTAAATTAGAAGTGTAATAAAAAATATATATATTTTTGCGCCATTTTGAATTTTACTCGAATACAAATACAAATACTTTTCCCCCCTCAACAAATACAAATACCGGCTGCTCCGCACATCCCTACTGTATATATATTCTTGTTTTTGTAAAGGTGAATTTTAATCTGCTGCTCAATATTATAATCAAAAGTTCCTCTAACTGTATTTGAACAAATAAGAGATTATAATAAATTTGTAAATAATATATTTCAAAAGATAACGACAAGATTCAACGATCAAGATTGAAAAGAAGTATTTTAAAAACACCTAAAAGTATTATATTTAATATTTATTATTATTTTAGTGGCTTTTTTCTGTAAACCAGGATAAAAGAGTTCACCCAAAACTGAAAGTTCTCATAATTTACTCATCCTTCACTTGTCACAAACCTGTTTGAGTATATTTTGTTGAACACAAAAATGCAGCGTTTTATTATTTGTTTGCATTGTGTAAAATGCAGCACGTTACAGAACATGTTCTGTCAAACAGATGAAGATCTTTTCTTAATTTGCTGGAGTTTTTTGTAATTGTATGCAACATGTTTAGCTCTCTTGGCCACCATGTATGTGTGTGTGTGTATAATATATATATATATATATATATATATATATATATATATATATATATATATATATATATATATGAAGATGCAAAAATCTCTAAATGCCGTTTAATAATTATTTTTTAATTAGCATTTTTCTTCGACTCCTGTGTAGGCTCACTAATTTTACTTTTTATAGCTACGAATAAGTTCCTTTTATTGACTTTAAAGTGAAATAACTGAACATAAACAGAAAATTTCTCATTTTAGGAGAAAAATTCAGACGGCATTTAGAGGTTTTTGAATACTCAAGGTACTTAAAATACAGTTGAAGTGAGAATTATTAGCCCCTTCTTATTTTTTCCCTAATTTCTGTTTAACGGAGAGAAGATTTTTTCAACACATTTCTAAACATAAAAGTTTTAATAACTCCTATTTTGCAGCGAGAAATGCCTCTGAAGCGGCACCGACGGATCCACAATGCAGTTCGGCAACGCCTGTTGTCACCCATTCAAAGTTAATGGCGTTGAAGCTGACGCCCCGAGTGAACGAGGAATAATGACTGATTTATTTTATCTTTGCCATGATGACAGTAAATAATATTTGACTCGATATTTTTCATATATACTGTAATTAGGCAAGTTATTGTATAACGATGGTTTGTTCTGTAGACTATCTGAAATTTTTTTTGCTTAGAGGGGCTAATAATATGGACCTTAAAATGGTTCTTAAATTTAAAACTGCTTTTATTCTAGTTGAAATAAAACAAATAAGACTTTCTCCAGAAGAAAACAATAACTCTGTTAAACATAATTTCAGAAGAAAATTCAAAGCGGGGCTAATAATTCTGACTTAAACTCTATGCTATTTGTGTTTCATGATAACAGGTTTCTAACATTCTTCAGAATATCTTATTTTGTGTTTAACAGAAAAAGGGAAACTTGTAGGTTACAACCACCCAAGGGTGAGTAAACGGTGAGCAAATTTCCATTTTAAGTAAACTGTCCTTTTAAAAACATATTAACAAGTCGTTTTTTTTTTAGAACTAAAGTGTGTTATTACACTAATACAACAAACATTATTGAGATAAAGTTGGTTTTATATTCAAACATTTGGAGTTTCTCCAGTATCGCTTTATTTTGATGGTCCCTTTTATTGAAGGATTGTTGAATTGAAGTTACATTGCTTCCACATGCCAACTAATTCACATTAGATTATAAGTAGACTGTTAGGTTAGGGTTAGTGTAAGCTGACATCTACTTGCAAAGTTTCTTATAGTCAGTGAAATGTCTGATGAAGGAGCAGTATCAGCAGATATTAAGCAGACAGTCTACAAAATGTGCAATAGGGACCATCAAAATAAAGTCTTACCCTTTCTCCTTAATAGTATTATTTCAGATTAGTATTCTATGCACATTATTAATATGTTAATCATATTAGCAACCAATATTTGAGGTAAACTTGGTTTTATATGCACACATTTATTCATGTTTGAACAGTGACAACTTGTGACACACTCCCTATATTGTTTACCATGGTACTGGTAAACATGAATACTCAGTGTGAAATCACATTTAGGTATGACTTCAAAACAGCAATATATATATATATATATATATATATATATATATATATATATATATATATATATATATATATATGACAGTGAACAATGTTGTACTTTGACAGCCATTGGCTGCTAATATGGTTTCACTATGTAGAATATGCAATGAATAAATACATCTGCATAATTATATTATAGAAGGTGCGAATGTGTGAATATAAAACCAACTTTACCTCAACATATTCAAAGTACCATGGTAAACAATTTAGAAAGCGTGTCACAAGTTGCCACTGAACGAATGTGCGAATAGAAAACCAACTTTACCTCATAAACGTACCCCTTGTTACACGTATAGTAACAAACCAGAACCAAATTCTGTGAAGGTTGCCATTTAAAACTTTATATCTCGAACACAACAGAGTCCATTCATTCAGTCATTAGCTCACACACACACAAAATGTTCAGTTTTTTTTTTAGTCTTTTGTCTATTCCTTCGGCTTGCCCTCCAGCAGACCCAGTAGAGTCGCCTCAGCCTCCAGCAGTGTGGTGTCGGTCGTCGCTCCCAGAAAGCGCGATGTGAGCTCCAAATCCTCCAGCCTGAGCCTCACCTTGCTGCCCCGCTGGTACTTCTCCCCGTCAACAGCAGGCCTCTTACAAACACAGTGAAACTTCCCTCCGAAATCCACATACAGGTCATCGTTGACTATGTGGAAGATCTTCCCGATGGCGATCTTGCCTTTGGCGGGACCCATCTGTAGGAGCACGGACTGTCGCAGCAGAGCCGGGAAAGAGCTCTCCTCCCTGGGGCTCATCATACGCCGTTCGCCGCTTTGCTGGAGGTCCGAGTGCAGATTATAAGCGGCAGCGAAACCGCTCTTCGGCCGCTCGGTGTGTTTATCATCTCCTCCGCTCGCGTCTGAACTGTATAGGGATCTGAGTGTGGCGAAAACACATTGTTTTGGAGGTAAAGAAGACCTGGAACTCACGTTGATCATCACCTTGCAGAGCGACGCCATGTTGAAATGTCATAAGAAGGAAAGAGAGATCCGGTTATTTCAAAATAAGAGCATAGATGAAGGCGTTGGTGGCATATGAAAAACACCTAAAGTACATTTTAGACTATTTTTACTCTCGCTCTATTAGTTATGTTTTATTTAAAAAGTATATTTTTAGAGATGGATGAAGTTTTTCCCCTCCCCTGATTCTTAGGGACGGTTGACACATTTTTTTATTCTGCCATTATTTATTTACTCTAATAATAAATAATTAATCCTTTAAAATCGTACATATTCAATTAAAGGATGCATCCTTTGCATATAATAAATATGATCTGGAACTCACACTGGCTTTAATAACTGTCACCAATTATGGTAGGCCTCACCAGTATTCTAAAAATATTTAAATTAGTTAAAAATAGATAAAAATATCACAAAGCCACATATTATATAGACATAAGGCAAATTAAACTACAAAGTTTACAATTAACGTAAACATTTTGCCTAACGTTAAATGCATTATATCCTTGAACAAAAATAATAAAACACAGTAGAAATTAAATAAATATATTTAAATAAATACAAGCATTGCTTGAATATCTCGCTTTATTTCAAATTTAAAGGCGACCTTAAAATGACTTTTAATTGACTATGATAAATGCGTGACTCTCTCGGCTTCCGTAGTTAACGCGTCACGTACGTTTACCGGAAGTTTATAAACACATCTTCGAGAACACGCATGAAGAAAACATGGAGCTGTTTGTAATTTCGCCAGATTTGAAGTTTAATAATCTTACTGTCGCTCCGGACTCGACTGTCAGCGACCTTATCGATCATTTTACCGTTAAAAATGTGAGTCGCTGAGTGATTACATTAATGCGACGAGAACTGAACTCTGGATTAAGCTCTTCTCTCAGTACTCATTGCTCGGTTTGATTGTGTTTGTTATAGTGATGTTTAAAATGACGGAAATGTGTTTTTCTTTCCTCTCAGGGTGTATCTTTGACGGATTTCTACGTGAGCAGTAATGGCCGTTTGTCTCGCAGTAATGACCTGCTTCAGTCTGGAGTTGTGTATCGTCTGGAGCCCCGGCTGTGTGGAGGAAAAGGAGGTAAAACCACTAATATCCTCTAATAATATTGTTTAGAGTGTGCTTGTTTGCTGATGTTTGTGACCCTGGACTTCCAAACACGATTTAACGTTAAGTGTTTTTTTTTACTCGAGATTTACACACCATTTTAAAGCAGAATAAATAAGCTTTGCATTAATTCATTCTTTGTAAGTAAAAGATTATGGGTCACACTTTACAATAAGGTTCATTAGTTAATGTTAATTAATGCATTTGCTAAGATAAACAAACAATGAACAATACATTTACTACTGTATTTGTTCATGTTAGTTAACGTTACTTAATGAAAATACAGTTGTTCATTGTTAGTTCATGGTGCATTAACTAATGTTAACAAGCATGGACTTGGATGTTTATAAAGCATTAGTAAATGTTCAATTTTGATTAATAAATGCTGTACATGTGTTGTTCATGATTAGTTAATGTTAGTAAAAGCATTAACTAATGAACCTTATTGTAAAGTGTTACCAGATAATGTTTGATTTAGGTAAAGCTGGTTTTATATTCGCACCTTCAGACTTTCTCCTTAATGATATCATCCCTTTTAGGAATTAAAAAAAACTCTGGGAAATCGTACACTCAAAAAAGACTTTTGCTGCTTGTTCAAACTACAAATTTTTAAATGAGGTGAAACAACACAAAGTTTTTAGGGGTAAAACTTGTTTTTTTTTGTTAAATCCACTTAAATTGGGAAAAAACAATTAAGTTTACTCAAAGACCACCTATTTTACCCCTTTTTCAAGATTTAAGGCAAGTCTTCTATGTCTCCAGTATGTTTCTGTGAAGTTTCAGCTCAAAACATTAGAAACATCAGATTATTTATTATACCTTTCTGAATATTGTGATTTTCTGCTTTGAACACAATGTAGCTGTTTTTGTGGCCTGTGCCTTTAGTGCTAGTTCACCCCGCCCACCGTTCTCACGTGCTTGTCAAATGGCCCATTTCCACTGAGTGGTACAGTTTGGTTTGGTACGCTTTTATGGCCGTTTCCACTGTCAAAAGGCTTACCGTACCGTACCACTTTTTCGGCACCCTTTCGAAAGGGTCCCAAACACAAGAAAGGGTACCAAAAGGAGGAGCTAGACGCGCAGCTAAACGCTATTGGTTTACAGAGACGCGTCATTCGCTTGCGCAACAAGCCAGAATGTAAACAAAGGACCCGCCATGTTTGAAATACAGAGCGAGAGATTACAGCAGAATTATATAAGCATAATGGTCAATCCGGGCTCAAACAAACCTTGTCGTCGTCTTGATGAACAGCCACAAAGCATAGAGTAGAGCAGAATCTGCCCTGTGCCCCGTAGTTTTTTAAGAGCCAGTCTGAGGAGCAAGCGGTTTCGCTTTCTTGCTTGTGCTCGCCGCGCGTCTATTTCTGTATGAATATTAAACTTCTTGAGCTGATAATAATAACGTGAGCTATACTTTGTGTTGTTTTGAACCAAATTAAGGACAAAATGTTTGCTGTGTGTACTTTTTCTGTAGTTGAAGCGTCTGTTTTGTGAGAAGTGCTTTTCATATGATATGCAAGCGACCCGTACAGCTTTATTGTAGACATTTCCTCGAGTGAGAATGATGCGACTGAAACTATCTGTTGTACACCACGTCCACCAAAAGGGTATCCTTGCTAGTGGAAACGCAAGCCTGATAAAGGTGACCCGTACCAACCCGAACGTACCATACTGTACCAGTCAGTGGAAACGAGCCTAAAGTGTGCCTCGATCTCCTCCTCGGCTGTGTAAGATAAACAGCACATTGACTGACATGAACGAAGCAGATCTCATGTAACGTTTGTGAAAAGTATTACAGTAAGCTTTTACCCAATAATTATTTGATGTATTTGTTGTGGACAGTAAAATCGCTACATTCATTACAAAGTTGTCCTGTTTTAATTCCTGATTACATTTGATTATGATTGATGATCACAGAGAGCTGAACAGATCTTTTAATCCCAGTTGCTTTGTGCATGTCCTGTCTTGTTCATATGATTGTATGCATTACTACGGAGACCTGTTAATAATCAGCTGTCAAACAAGTTAGTGGGCGGGGAAACCACACGTTGTGGTCAGCCTCAAAATGGGAGGGATTTGGATCCAATTTTAACGTCAAGAAAGAAAAAAGTTTATATCCCTCCAATATGACTGTGGACATACTATACCTACACACAGTTTTGTCTAAACCGCTTACAAAAAATGATTTTCTTCATGGGTGCCCTTTAATTGATTTGTGTTGTGATGAGATGAAGTAATTGTTGGGTTGGCTGTCAAAGTACAACATTGTTCACAGTCAGTTAAATCTGTTTTATAACAAAGATTATTTAACTCCAAATGGACCCAGACCTAAGCATAGCATGATTACCGGTTTTAACGGTCATTGTGGTTAAGGTGTAAAACTGGCAAAATTAAAAGGTGTGTGAGGGGTTTTATGTGTTTTAAAGAAATCAGTGTTATTGAAACTAATAAAGACTGCAGAAGTCTTGAAGTATTTAGCCTGACATGTTTACGGTCAAAATATTATACATTTTTCCTTAGTTTTTTTTAGATTTCGTTTTTTTACCCAGACATTTAAAAAGGACTCATTTTATAGCAGTTATCACAATACCTTGAAATCAAGATATTTTTATTCAAGGTTATCATATTATCATAAACTTATACCGGCTCATGCCTACCCAGAATGAACCTCAATTTTGAATGCATCATGAGAATTCGACTTGTGATTGTTTTTCAGGATTCGGCTCCATGTTGAGAGCTCTCGGTGCGCAAATTGAAAAGACCACAAATCGTGAGGCCTGCCGAGATCTGAGTGGAAGAAGACTTCGAGACGTCAATCATGAGAAAGAGTAAGACTGACGATTACCACACGCTTGTTTATTTACACAATGTGCAATTATCTCATTGATTTGGTGCTTTCTCTTTCTGTTAAATGCTTAAATGTGTTTGTATGTGTACGTAGAATGGCGGAATGGTTGAAAAAGCAGGCGGATCGAGAGGCGGAGAAGGAGCAGCGTCGCCTGGAGCGGATTCAGAGGAAACTGGCTGAGCCCAAACATTATTTCACAGACACCAATTATGAGCAGCAGTGCCATGACCTCTCAGAGAGACTGGAGGACTCTGTGCTCAAAGGTGATTTAGATTTTTTTTTTGTCCATAAACAAATCATCCGAGATATACAAGTCTTTTGATTTTTCGTTATAGATTTGTGTCGTATTGTGACACTCTTTTTAGGTTGTGTAAATCTTATACGTTTTTTAAAAATCCTAAATCAATTTATTATTTATATAACCTTTTTTGGTTCAACTGGAATATTACGAAGGTATGAGAATACTTGTGCACGCCTAAAACAAAAATAACAACTTTATTGAACAGTTCCTTCTCAATGCCAGTATAGGACACGCATGCACTGATGTGCCTATACTGACACTATGGAGAAGAAACTGTTACTGGTATCTTTCTTTTTAAGTCAGAGGGCAATAATTTTTAAAATCAGTGGTCCTCAAACTGTGGTACGTGTACCACTAGTGGTACGCGGGCTTCCTTCTAGTGGTATACAGAGGAATCCAATATGTCAAATGTACATGCAACATATATTTCAAAATGTATATTTCAAAAATGATTCATATATGAATATTAAGACATATAGCCTATATTTAGTTTCATTTCAAAGTGAAAACCCCTGACCTATTTCAAAGTGTAAGGCGCGCCTCCCCTGGGGGGCGCCAGAGCATGTCAGGGGAGGCGCGGGAAAAAATATTATATAATAAAAATATAATTATTAGGTTTAATTATTATATGTATTTTTTATTATATTTAAACGTTTTAATTAAACAAAACTAAAAAAATAATACGTCAAAAATAAGAAAACCTTTTTTACCCAGAAGGCCATAGCTGTGAATTCGCTTCTGTTTGGCAAGCCCACCAATACTGGTATATGCTTGCTAATACAATGGATCGGTTTCTGAGACCCCCCGATTCAAAGCCTTCAAGATCAGGGCTTAAACCCAAAAGACGACGATATGATGATCAGTATTTGAGTTTAGGATTTACGTGGACAGGACCAGCTGATGAACCACGACCTTTATGTGTGGTTTGTCAAGATATTTTGGCTAATGACAGCTTGAGACCCGCTAAACTTCGACTGTTTTGACTGGGATGGACAGTTCTTGGATCTGCTCTATTTATATTGAACCATCATCCTAGTTTTAAAAGCGTTATATTAAAATACTTATTACTCTGTAAATAATTGCACTTTCATGCAAATGATGATAAAAGTGAGTTAACAGTCTGACATCTGTCTGTGTCTTTATATATACTGTATGTGTGTGCGTGCGTGTTTGGGAGGAGGGGGGCGAAAATGGATAAGTTGTGTCAAAAGGGAGGCCCACTGTCTTAGACTTTGAAAAACCCTGCATAGGTTAACACTTTACGTTGAGGTACAGTTTGAGTTTTTTTTTGTGTACTTTTTAAGAACAATAGCCTACCATTTTTTTATTAACTTTTAAAAGCACATTTTATTGTAAACGTTGATAGTTTATTTTGTTTGTTTGTATTTTACATGTAAGCACAGTACAGTGTTAATGCTCAAACTATTTACTATGTTTAAAGTGGCTGATAATATAAATTTTCTCAATAATAGTAGTTAATCTGCCACGTTTTTAAACTTTGCAGAGTTGTAGCTACTTTACTGAGCCTACTACGCTACTGTATTTCAATACTGGTCATTGTGATGGTACTTGGAAAGACAATTTTTTTTCTGAGGTGGTACTTGGTGCAAAAAGTTTGAGAACCACTGGTCTAAATGAATAATGTTTTCATACTTGCACAATATTGTGAATTCCCATTTCGCATAGCCCAAAAAAATATTACTACTATTAATAATTTAAAAGTTGCTTTGATTTTTATTGTTAAATAATCTGCATATACAAAAAAAAACTAAAAAATAAAACACGCTGATAAAAGTTTTTGTTCACGTTGATCAAGCTAACCTCCATGAACTGTCTATATATTATTTATATAAATAAATAAGCTGAGTCTGAGACTTTTATTTATTTGATAGTTTATTTCACATTTCTTGTTTGTAAAGGCTAAATACAAAATAATTAAAAACATAATATTTTGTATCGTTGTTGTTTAAAAACAAAATTAAGAGCCTGGAGGTATTTTTGGCTTTGTATATTCAGTTTGCAGAGATTTGTAGGGACAGACATCTATTGTGTGCGCTCTTGGCAGTTTTTTTCTGTCTTTTTAATATTGTCCATTTCGGAATTATATTGTATTGACCAAAATTAAGAAATGTATCGTGATATAAAATTTTGCCATATCGTCCAACCCTAAGCCCCATAGGCGCTGCATTAGAGACACCTTGCATAAGCGGTACTTTGTTTTTTGTAATTTGACGCATTTATGATATAATGCATACATAAATGCAAATAAATGTTCATGTGTTTTTAAAAATCTAACTATTAAAAACTTTCAAGGATTTAAGATTATGAGGACAGTTAAATGGGCTATAAGAGTCTTGTGAAAAGGGTCCATAAGGCACATCAGCACATGCTTGCCCTATACTGACACTGAGAAGAAACTGTTGAATGAAGTTTTTATTTTTACTTTAGGTGTGCACAAAAATATCCTTATAGCTGTGTAATATTACAGTTGAACCACAAAAGACACAATTTGTTTTGGCAGTGTGTTTTTTTGTAACTTTCTTTTTTCATCGTGGGCAATAATCCTCTAAATGAAGCTTTTAATGTTCTCATATTTGAGCAATTTCTTTGTGATTTGATGCATACATCACGTGCATAAATCACGCCATGGACATTATATTAAGATGCCTACTGGTTTAAAATACCTAGATTAAAAAAAGATGGCCAAATCAGAACTTTTCTGTAATAAATTATAGTAAAACAGCTTGTCAAAAAGAATTAAAAAATGAAACCCTCTAAACAGAATAAATGCAGGAACGGAGCAAAGAGCGCTCTTTTAGGGTTCTTTCACACCTGCCTTATTTAGTTTGGTTGAATCGCACTAGAGTTCGTTTCCCCTCTTGGTGCGATTCATTTGGGCAGGTGTGAATGAAGCAGTCGTACTCGAGTGCACACCAAAAGCGGACCAAAAAAGCTTACTGAGACCTGCTTGAAGAGGTGGTCTCGGTATGCTTTCAAACAAACCCTGGAGTGGTGCTTTTGTGTTGACAACATGATCCGAACTAAAACAGACCCAACCACAAAAAGTACTGCACCTTTTTGGATTAATCCAGCTGCCGTAGGCCGATGCACTGTGCATTATGGGATGTGGGGAAAAATATTTGTTGACAGCGCTTTACCTACAATTTTAAACAGAGAGGGAGAGGGGGAAAAACATTACCTGATGGATCGTTGGTAATATTTCTGGAAGATGACCATTTTGCAGTTTAGCTAAATGAATTCACACCTCCTCTTGAAGTGACGTGTGATGCACCTTTGCCGTTTGCGATGCATTAAAACATTGCCTCATAAAACAGCCTCCGCCGTGCTTCATTCTTAAAATGTATAGTTTGTCTAAGTGATCTATACAAACTATATAGTAAACTATGACCAGGGATACAAACAGCCAGTACATTCGTAGCTCCATAGTAAAAAGCAACATTTTGTGTCCGCCGGTTTGTTTACTTGCAGGAGTTCATTGGCATTTTCCCGCAAGTGAATTCTGACCAATCGAATAGCAGTTTATGAAATGTGTTCAACAACATCTGGCCAATGAATGATGTGTGTTTTGTCACAATACTGCAATTTGGTTCTTTTTCAACTGGTTCGGACCAAAGCTTTCAAAGACTGGTGTGAAAAGGACAGCAGAAAATGCTACAATGTATCATTTATTGCCCTTGGTCCAGACCAAATGTAGCAAACTACAGATGTGAAAGCATCCTTATTGTCAGCTGTCAGTCAGCGCCCACTCTGACTTTTTTTTTCTTCATGGTCATTGTGCTTCTTGCTATGTGCAGTTTAAATGCAGACAATTGCATAGAAGACACTTTTTAAAAGATGATGCAAGCAGGTCATCAAAAAAAAAAATCAGATACAGTCACTAAATCAAAATTGACCATCAAGATCAACAGTGTAAATGCTGCCTATTAGACAAGATTTTAATACCGAAAACACTTTATTGGATGTTTTAAAAGTGTATTACTGGGAAAAATATTGAAGTTGTTTATCTTAAATTGCACCGAAAATCCTATCAAGTGTTAATTCAATATCATGTCAAATGTTTTATTTCTTTTTGTGTTTTATCTAAATTAGTCTTGCCATGAAATAGCTATAAATTGATGGAACTAAATCAACAGATAAACAGTGTATATTGTGGCACGCCGTATTGTCAAACTTTACTTCCTTTATAGTTTTGGGGAATTTATTTTAGTTTTTACATTTTTGTGTTTCTAATAAAATGTTTCCTCCACAAAACACTCAAGTTTTGCACCGGATACATTAAGATAAACCTTATAGACATTAGGATGGTAAATGAGTAAGTCACCCATAAATGTAAATTCTGACCTCATTTATTCACAGTTGAACACTAAAGAAGATATTTAAAGGAGTGTTGGAAACCTCATAACATTGACTTCCATAGTGTTCTTTTTTTTTCCTACTATGGATGTCGATCATTACCAGGTTTCACCAATCTTCAGTTTAGTGTTCTTTTGTGTTTACTGTACATAAATATGACATACTCTTATTAATAATAGTAAACATTCTAGGTATCATCCACCAATAATTATTCTAGAAAGCACACCTGAAATATTAAAAGTGTCTTCATTCTTCAGGCATGCAGGCTTCCTCTAGCGGTCTCGTTCAGGCGGACGAGGGTCCGAGCCTCAAGCGCGCAAATCCAACAGACAGTAAAAAGAAAGCCAAGAAGAAATGTTACTGGTGAGATGCTTTCAAATATGAAAAATTTAACACAAGACTTACAAATATAACTTTAATTTTAACATTTCTGTAACATGCCTTTGTTTAATCCAACAGGACCGGCATGGCAGGGCTAGAGGAAATGGCCAGCTCTAGTGAAGGAAGTGATGACAGCGACAGTGAAGTCTCTCCGTCTACCTCTGGAGCTTCCTGTAGTTCTGGTTTTCCTAAACCAGTCGTTTCAGCTCATAAAGCAGACCCCCAGGAGCAGCCCTCTTCCTCAAGTCCCGCACAGAGAAAACACAACCAGGAGGAGCTGCAGAAACGGGACAAGGAGGAGTGTACAAGTGAAATCAGCAGCTCTTCCTCCAGTCCTGCTGCAAACAATGAAAAACTCAACCAGGAGGAGACCAATGAAATCAGCAGCTCCTCCTCCAGTCCTGCTCCAAAGCCTACAGAAGTCAACCAGCAGGAGATGGAGACTGAGATGGAGTGTACAGCTCAAATCAGCAGCTCGTCTTCAAGTCCTGCTGAACACAGCGAGGAGGAGGTGCAGCAGACGGCTGAGAGGGTGGAGAAGATGGCTGAGGAGGTGCAGAAGACGGCTGAAGAGGTGCAGAAGAAAACTGAGGAGTCTACAGCTGAAATCAGCCCAAGCAGCAGCATCCCTGAGGAGAAATCACAGGTTCTTTCACAGGTTTGAAATGCTGAAAGATATTAAAATAATTTTCATTTCAATTAAGCTTTATATATATATATAAAAAAACAATAAGTTGTATTTTAGTTGTTGTATCATTTACATTGAAATGACAATTTAACAGTCTCTTTAACTAGATATGTTGCATAAAGGCAACTGAAATCAGGGTTTCGCCAGATCATGTCATTTCTGGAATATCATGGAATATTAAAAGTTTTTTTTCCAGACATTAACCATGTTTCTATTCAAAGAAGCAAATAAAATTAATGCGCAAAACTGGAATATCACATAACAGATTTGTAAATAAAGCAGCATTTCCATCTAATGAGTCCACGAAAAAAAAGTTACTTCCTGTTAAACTGGCACCAAATATATATAAAAAACAGAATTTGCTGTGGTAGAAGCATGTGTGGGTTTTTTTTCCTTGTATAATAAATTACTTGCACCTCAGAAGATAAAATGCGATGAACACAAGGTGGCGTTTAGAGGTGTGAGACGCTCTTTGGGTGCACAGATACTCAAGACAGTTCTGGAGTTGGCATGATACAAAAAATGTAATATAAAAATCTTACATATGCTGTAGAAATGTTATAGCAGAGACGCTTGTCGGTTTTAAAACCTTGGCTTATCCATATACATTAAACTGTTATCTTTCCATGCCTATTCTGGCAGTGATAATATTAACTGGTTCAGGCATTTTAGAATGACCAAAATAACATTTTAGAAGTTTTACAATGTAGTCAGCCTGATGGTTTGTCCATTATTGCTGACCATTGCACCCACTTTTATCATCACATAATTTCTAATAACAAAATCCCTTTATTTTTTTTTTAAATGCACACACTGGGATTTATTCGGTATAAGTGTTTCAGTCGAATAAAAATTTATCCTCAGTTATGTGCATACATTTTTTTTTGAATGTGCATTTTCAACTTTATACACATCTTGGGATTTACATCCCAAGCATATTTTAATGCAATAATCCAAAATGTGCATAAAAAATAGGTGGATGAAAACCTAGCTATTGAAATTTGTATTTTTTTTCATATATATATATATATATATATATTTTTTTTTTCAAATTCATGGAATATCAGGGGGTTTTGTTTGTTGCCTTAAAATTTGTTTACATTTATCAGAAATGTTTTTTTTAAACTTTTTTTTTTTTTTTTTTAATAACCATATTATACTGCTATCCACTTGTTAAGTGTGACATCCTGCGTAGCGGCTTCTGGGTTCAATTGCTCTATCAAACTGAAGGGAAGACTCAATAAATTGTAGTAATAAACGTTTACAAAGTGCTGTAATACTTTCAAAACTCACGATCACTAAATATATATCCATGCCTAATATCAGATGGCCAGAAAGTGATACGTTTTTTATAAATTGTTACAATTTTGGTATTTGTGATGCAGCAAGTCCAGAGACTCTTCTATACACAATCATTTTATATAAAATTCACTTTGATGTGTCATATGACTAAAAGTGCTCATAAACGAAAATTTTCTCAATTCAAATGAGTCGCAGCTTAGACCTGGGAGCAATATTTCATGTTACAACTTAACAAGCGGATGCTTAAACTCTTTTTCAGCTCCATTTTATTCCTTTTCTGCTCATCACCTGGCAATCACTCAAGTCAAATGCAGTCATTGGAGGTACTTGTTAATAAAGGCCTGCTTTTTTGTTTGTTTTTAGACAGGGAATTTGGATTAAAGTGGGAATCCTGAAAGGTATTCCTGTTATTTTCCTGGCCGTGTGACTGATTTCACAAAGGCTTCAGGTACTTTTAACTGTGGACTGGCCTGCGACTCAATACTTGTGTTAGGCCAGCAAAATGGCATCTCAGTTTCGATCGCCACATCACTGGGACCTTTCTGCTGCAAATTTTACATAGTATTGGCACATCTAACTTGGCTATTTCTCCCTTTCGTTAGGTTGAAAGCCAAAATATTGCAGAACAGGGAGTGTCTGCCATTAGCGGGGGGGAAATCGCGCTCAAAACACTCTTGCATTCATCTCTTATTCAACATTCAGTGCACAATAATGCACACAATAATTGCAGTTCAGCCAATAGGCGTCATGTCTTGAGCCATCATATTGCCTCTGTTTCACAATAATGGCAAGAATTTAGGGTCAAACCTTATCTAACTATTATTTTGTAGTAAAGAAATATTTAAAAATTTCTGATTAATTGCATGCATTCATGCTGACATGTTGTTTGGTTGTTAGGTTGAGGATCCGCTGGATCTGCTTTCTGTGAGTGGGCCGGAGCAGCTGGAGGCTTTGGGTCTGGAGAGGCTGAAGAAGGAGCTGATGGAGAGAGGGATGAAGTGTGGAGGAACACTGCAGGAACGAGCTGCGCGTCTGTTTTCTGTTAAAGGACTGACCCCTGATCAGATTGATCCTTCACTCTTGGCCAAACCCAGCAAGGGCAAGAAGAAATAGCAGTCCAAATCCACTGCTGTGACGAAAAATTGTTTGAGAAATTTATTAGTCATCAATTCTGAGATTTAAAAAATGTATCGCCGTTTAATTTGAGGTTAGTTTTTAACACAGATGGCGCTGTGTGCTTTACAAACACTACTCAAAGCTAAGTTTGGGAAGTTTTTTCCTAGTTTGGGAAGGTTTATGTGGATTTCAAGAGTGTCAATAGTGGGCTGTATTTACGTTAATCTTGTGACAAGAGCCGACTTGCATTACATGCTAAACACTCAAGGGCTCAAAAGTTTTTGAGTGTATAGATAAACTAGCCCAGAGCACTGTCTGCTGTTTTTAAAACTAGCCTAGAGTTCTGTCTGCTAATAAAAACTAGCCTAGAGCACCGTCTGCTAATAAAACTAGCCTAGAATGCCGTCTGTTAATAAAAACTAGCCTATAGAACAACTTGTTAAAAAAAAAAAAAAAAAAACAAGCCTATAGTGCCGTCTGCTGATTAAAAACTAGCCTAAAGTGTTGTTTGCTGATTTAAAAACCAGGATAGAGTGCCATCTGCTGATTAAAAACTAGTGTAGAGCGCAGTCTGCTGTTAAAACTCAAGGTTAGAATCAGTTCAAGAGCAAATAGGAATGCATTTTGAAAATCACAGAATTGTCAAACCATTATTTTCTGCCTAAGCTCAAATTGTCTTTGCTGATTTGCATATCTTGTTTGGCATGTCCGTAGTTTTTTTTTAAGATGTCTTTTGTAAAACTCAAGCACCTCATTTTGGAAAATCTTTCATTTTGAAAAAAGATGCCCCTCAAGATTTAGTCGTATACAGATGAATCAGGTGTCAGTTTTACTTTGATCCACCACATAGGGCATTTTATCACCACCCTTTTGTCTTTATAGTAAAATGTGTACATTTATAAATGCAAAGCTCGGGCTAACTTTATTTAGTGATGTGTTTGTAGTCATTGTAAATAGCTATTTTAATTCATGCAGATGTCATTTGGTGCGGTCTACAAAGTCATTTAACTTGTTTCTAATCAAGCCAACAAGTTGTTCACATTGCACAGTATTTGATTGTATTATATGATCCTACTTTGTAATGGAGTAAAATAGTAATACAGTTTTTTTTTGTTTGTTTGTTGTTATTATGACTACATATTACTGGTTAAATAATCTTTCTTTAAAAGTGTAAAGAAAGTCGGCTCTGTTTCCTGACTGTAATCTCTACTGACTTCAGACAGCAGCAGAACCTGGATGGGAGACACATGGGAAAGCTAGGTTGCTGCCGGAATTGATATTAGTAAGGCCAATAGGGGGCGCTCAACCTGCAGTCTGTGTGAGTCTTAACGCCCCAGTATATTGATGGGGACTGCTGAGTAATGTCTTTCAGAGACGTTAAACCTGTGGTCGTTAAAAATCGCAGGATGTCCTTCGAAAAAGAGTAGGTGTTTAACCTTGGCATCCTGGCCAAATTTGCCCACTGGCCTCCTAACCATCCCCATATCATACTTTGCTTCATCACTCTGTCTCTCTCTGTGTGGTGTGCGGTCTGGCACAAAATGGCTGCCGTTGCGTCATCCATGGATGCTGCACACTGGTGGTGGATGAGGAGATTCCCTCCAATGTGTAAAGCACTTTGAGTGTCCAGAAAAGTGCTATATAAATGTAAGGAATTATTATTATTATTTTAAGGTGACTCCTTTAAATTTGCCATTGCTATTTATAATAAGATTAGGGTTATCCCAGATCTTCTGCACCTTTAGCTTTAACAGTTTGTTACAAATCTTCAATTATGTCTGACATTCAGTTAAAATAGACTTGCACAAAAGCCAGTGTACAAATGCAAGTGTTTCTTTTTCCTGTTCTGCTCTTGCTTTTCCTAATGTGGAGGAGTGGTGAGGAGCTCATCAATCAAAGAGATCCATTAAACTGTCCTCCCAGATGACTGGAGCTGGTTCTTTCTGCACGGGCCTTGGAGGTGGGCTGCGGGGCATCAGCTTTCGTCCAGTCTGCAATAGACATGATTAGACAAACTTAGTGGCACGTTTGAACTCAATGATACAGTATTTGATGATCAAGACAACAGGAAAAGGTATTTGCTGGCTCTGTACAACACTCACTATAACCACAGGAGGAGCGAGCGCCATCGCCAGCCTTTTCTGTCTTCTGTACTGGCTCCATTCTTCCCGCTTTTGCTTCATCAAAGCTTTTTGCTGAGCAAGTTCCGGTTTAATGTTTTTGTGAAATAGAGAAAACAACAGTGAGATTATCAACAGGCAACTCAATCCTCCATCAAGCAAATGCAATAATGTTTCACTAGAAACAGAAGCACTTTATCGTTAGGTTCGTAAAGAAAAGTGTTTTTAGATCTTACCGGGTCTGGAAGTCTTTAATCATCTGCTCTAGTGTTGTTTCGAACTTGTGGCTTTTAATGAAGTTGCAGGCCTCCAAACACAAGCCTTCCAATTCTTTCTCCTTTGACATCAGCATTGTTGAAGATCCCTCCACAGTCCTTACAGACCTCGGCGATCTTGGTTGTCATAAGCTTGTTCAGGTGAGAGAAAATAAGTGCAGTTGTACAGTCTAGTATTATATTTGGATGAGTGTGAGGGTTCAGCAGCTTCACTTGGGTCACGGTCTGCACTTTGTTTTTCAAGGAAGGGTCCTGTTGCTGCCGCTTTAGTTTTTCAAGCGGCCTCTTTCAAACAGAGCCTCATTCATGCGATAATGGCATAAAAGAATACTCTCTTTCAAGGTCTCTATCTTGCGAGGCAGTGGCGCAGTAGGTAGTGCTGTCGCCTCACAGCAAGAAGGTCGCTGGTTCGAACCTCAGCTCAGTTGGTGTTTCTGTGTGGAGTTTGCATGTTCTCCCTACCTTCGCGTGGGTTTCCTCCGGGTGCTCCGGTTTTCCCCACAGTCCAAAGACATGCGGTACAGGTGAATTGGGTAGGCTAAATTGTCTATAGTGTATGAGTGTGTGTGTGAATGTGTGCGGCTGGAAGGGCATCCGCTGCGAAAAAACTTGCTGGATAATTTGGCGGTTCATTCCGCTGTGGCGACCCCGGATTAATAAAGGGACTAAGCCGACAAGAAAATGATTAAATGTTTGAAGGTCTCTATCTTCCTTACACTGCACAGACACACAAGACAAAAACACAGAGGCTCAAACGCTGCCACTGTGTCTTCCTTGAAGAAATCTGACGAGAAACTTACAGAAACCCCTATTTGATCTCGTCGCTCTTGATGGCCGCGCTTGTGCAGAAATTTCCCTCTCCATTGACTTTAAATCGCAGAGTTTGTCAAAGTTGGTCTCCTGCTTCTCTTCGACAACTTCCTGGATTTTTGGCTCCTCTCTTCTCTCGTTCTCCTCTCTCCAGGCCATTTTCTCTTTAAGAGACATTCTTCTGAAAGAGATCACAGTCACAAATTAAATATCACACCATGAGAAGCAACATCTGCACTTTTAGGATGTGTAGAAACAGGAAAACATCAATTGTGCAGACATATTGGGCTGTTTAATGGCCACAAAAAAGCCATTGTTGTTGTTATTTGTGTGTTTCCTGTGCAATTAAAGTTCTATTTTGCTTTTGGCTCTCAAAATTGTTTTATATTATAAATAAAGAATGAAATGGTTGTTAATAAGAAACATTCAGATATACAATAGAGCAATATGTAATGAAAAAATGTAATGATGTGATGTAAAAGGTCTTAAGTTTGCTGGAGCTGTGGTTGGCGGGAGACTGAAGAGAAGTTTGCACTCGCTAGTGTCATTTTCTCCTGCTTTGTTTTTTTTCTCTTTCAGAAACTATGTAAAATGTAATACCTCTCGTTCTTGTGGCATTGAGTTAATAATAATAAAAAAGGGTCTAACTTAAAGTCCTACTCCCAAACATCAGATGGCAGTAAAGAGCTGCATCTAGCTTCAGCATACATTCACGAAAGAAACCGCTGTGTTTTCATGCAGTTTGTGGGGTAGTTTTGGGGTTTGTTGTAGTGCTGCTGTTTAAAATAAATGACATATTATGTATATAGGCTAATTAGCTCTTCTGCGAAGCTGTGGTAATAGTATCAACATGGCGTTTCCACAGCCGCGTCCGCAAGCGCCTCAGTTGCCGCAGCATCTGTGGAGGACTGTAGACTGTCAGCAGGGTGCAGTGAGAGCAGTCCGATTCAACGGTGAGCAAATGAGGGAAAACTACTTTGAGGAAAAAAGTCTTTGTTTTACAGGGTTCCCACAGCTCATGGCATTGCTGGAGTATCATGAATTTTAATAGGTCTCTTCCAAACAAGTCATGGGTATCAGTGATTCTTGGGTAAAACTTTAGAACAGTGGTCCATTTGTTATTGTATTTACTATTATTAACTAAGCATGAGTAAGCTTGTAAAGTGTTTATTCCTCACACTACAACATTAAATTAAAAATCCAAAGTTGTGCTTGTTATCCTGCACATTAAATAACATGAGTAATGGGGAATTATATTAAGGTGCTACAGATCTTTGTTTGTCATTTTAAAATTTACTTCCCATTTATCAAAAGGTATTTTCTATACACTCTCAGAAATAAAGGTACGCGAGCTGTCACTGAGGTGGTACCTTTTCAAATGGTACACATTTGTACTTAAAGGGTCCATATTGGTACCTCAAAAAAAAAAAAAAAAATATATATATATAAGTACCTACAAATTTTAAAAGGAACATTTTTGTACTTTTTTTTTTTTGGTACTAATATGTACCCTTGAGGTATTAATATGGAACTTGTAGTTACAAACGTGTACCTTTTGAAAAGGTACCACCCCAGTGACAGCTCGCATACCTTTATTTCTGAGAGTGTACTGTGTTTTTATCACATTGTGTTTATTATATTGTTATGGTTAGGCTTAGGGCTGCACTGTATATAGTTTCAGCATTGATCTCGCAATGTGCAAATTTGCAATGTTGAGTTGGGATTATATATATTTTTTAAAGATTTATTTTTTGCTTTCTTTAAGTAGATATGACGGTGTTATAGACAGGAAGTGAAGTGGTAAAGTGACAGGGGGTAGAGATGGGAATTGTCCTCAAGCTGGGATTTGAACTCGGGACGTCCTGATGTGCTACTGCACCATATGTCAGTGGGCTAACCACTAGTCTATTACGCTGACAGTTGGGATTATAATTTAAACCATTTGGGAAATTATCAGATGTGTAGCTTTAACAATGATTAATTGCATTTATTTATACAATAAAGACGGTAGTCAACATTAGAAGTGGATCAAAAAAAAAGTTGATCAAAGAGTTAGATTGAGTGTTGTTGAATAGTTTTAGCACAACTTTTTGTGGTGGTTTTGATCCACTTTATTAAGTGGATTTTGTTCATAATTGCATGTTATTTTACATTTGATTATTTTAATGTACCTCAATACTGTTAAAGTCTTTAGAAAAAAGTAAATCACTCCATTAGGGCTCTGCGATTAATCAAAATTAAATCGCAATCGCAAT